ATTTTTTGACCGAAAAGGTATTTATGAATGGAATAATATGTGCTTGGCTCATATTAAACACTATGTTAAGAGCGGTTGGAGTGATCTGGATGCTGATAATTACCTGAGCCAAAGGCGAGGGCAATTATCAGCATCCAAACTCCAATCGGTCTAAAACAGAGTGATTAAAACCGGCAAAGAGCACATTTATTCCCTTAGTACTGCTGCTGGCTGATAACACTTTTACAAGGTCAAAACTTCATTATTAAGAAAAATGGTCTAGCACAACAGAAGTTAGAACTGTGAAGGTCATGTCGGTTAATTTTGTGAATTAATTTCCTTTTTGTCAAGTATTGATCGGCAGTGTAACCAGAAATCAACGTTTGATGGCCTAGTCATCGAAAACGGCATGCACGTGTTTGCGAGTGTCTGGAACATTCATCGCAACGAGGAATACTGGACGGACCCCGAAAAATTTGATCCTGAAAGGTAAAAGAAATGTCTCCAGATTCTTTTTCAAATTCCAGAAACTGCAGCCAAGATATGGTTACTTAGAACATTTTTGAACGTCCCGCAATTATTCGCATATAGGGGATGAGCTAAAATTTAGTTAAGGTTGGTGGATCACAGATTAATGTTAATTGTTGTAAGCAGTTTCGTGATCTCTACAAAATTTACCAAACAAAATCCTTCAATTTAAATCAAACGAAACACATCTTTTCTCTAATAATATACATGTTTGAGATCACGCAAAAATATATTGTATGTGTTCTACCATAGAAGAAATCGCCTACCCTGTGTTGCTCTGTATAGTTATTATTGCAATTTTGTAGCATTTACTTTTTTATTTTTCAGGTTCAGCCCTGAGAACAAGGCCTCCATCAAACCTTGCACCTACATGCCGTTTGGCTTCGGTCCAAGAATCTGCTTCGGCATGCGCTTTGCCTTGCTGGAAGCCAAGATGGCGCTGGTCCGTGTACTGCAGCAGTATCGCTTCGATGTCTGCTCGGAAACCGAGGTAAGACAAGAGGGAACACTACGGCCGTTTCTCAAACCCGGCTTTGTCTTTAGTGTCCGGCTCCAACTCCGTTGGCAAACTGCATACAGGTAGCTGGACACTGGGGACGAAGCCGGGGTTTGATAAACGGCAAATGTGCAATGAAGTAGCTTGTCTGCGCATGCGCGTTGAGGTCCGTGACTATACTTGGTTACAGAAAAACAAGGTCATGAGCTATCTTGATGCTCAACTTAGACGCACGAAATGATAAGCATTAGGGTCGACAACTTCTATTTTGAACGTTGTGTACCGAAACGTTGGGAGTGATCTGGTACACGGTACCCTGTGGAGACATGTGCACAATTGAAACAAAAGATTGTATACGTCTCCACAGGGCAATGTCTATAGTTGAATACGTCTCAGCAAGGTTATCACAAATAGATATTATGGATTTACTCAAAATCTAGGATTTTCCAAGGTGTGTCGCCAGAATCGTCGCAAATTGAAGTATTTCATCAACTTGGATATTAAGTCGGAATTTCAGCCCAGGAAAAAAAATCCTGGTTAAAAATAGGAGCATTTTGAAAGTACACTTTCAAACTTGAAAACTTTAGTACACGAGAACAAAAAAATGACTCCACAAGGATGCCAATTCCAGTACCTGTGTAGTGGAGTGTGAAAATTCAAAATGTGCCTTGTTTGTTGAATTCAGTTTTTTCTCTGTTTCTCTGCGTTGTTACCTTTCAGATCCCACCTGCCCTGGGCACGGGACTGCTCCTCACCCCTAAGGAGATGGTGTTGAACATCATTCCCAGGAACTAGGTGACTGGATACCCCACCCAATGAGAACTCTTGTCTTGATGATGCAAGACGTTGTTACGTCCGCCAAGGAGGTTACGTTTCCACCGGCGAAGGTTTGCCTGTGAACATGATAACTCAAAAATTTATGGACGGATTGTCATGAAACTTTCTTTAGGGTGGTCCTTGGTACAAGTACAAATCGTCATTAGATCCGGATCTGCGTCTGGATGCAGGATGTTTTTAAAGACCATTTTATACAATGGAGCGAGTGGAAAGTAAACCAACACAGGCATAACTCTGTTTAACTACAAACTATTTGAGTTTTAGGATTTGTTTTCGCAATCACATTGTGCATTGGTGCTGTGTGTAATGGTGGGGAATTGTTTAGCCTTGGTGGAGGTGTGCGCTTTCTGAGTGCTTTCTAGTTTTAAATAGATTTACTTGCGACTGCTGAATGTTCAATCATCTCGAATAATAAATCGAAATGGTGTAAACTATTTTGCGAGGTGAGAAAGTACGTATGTTTTGGCGATTGTTGAAGGTGAAGACATGTTGATGTTAATCTGTAAAACTTCGCTTGAATTGTAACTGACACCTTTTTAAAACAATATTTATTTTTTTATTTTATTTTTGGTATAATCATAGAGAAAGGATAAAATCTAACATGACATGCTGACAAGATACTATTGAAGAGAGTGTTGTAGTATATTGCAATTTTGATACTGTTGAAATCGAAATTTTAGCTTTCAATTTTGCAATATTTTGCTTTTAGCGTGATATAATAATTGGCTTAGCCTATAGACTTTTAAATGTTTCTATACATTTTAGTTTTCGTTTGTGTATTTGTTTTACTTAAGCAAAATATGGTGTAATTTCATTGTATTAGCTGTAACAACACTGCAAACGTATGCAATTAAAATGACCGATGATTTGCAGAGCATTGTCACCCATTGACTGCAAAACGAAGCTTAGAATTAAAATGATCATTAAACGGATAATTCTGACTAAAGCAGACATATTACAATATTGAGTACTTTATTTTGTTTTCCAAGCACTTTATCGGAGTCAACCCTTGTCACACATTGAAACGTTTATCTGTAGATAAACCCAGCTAAAAATGGGTCAAAACATGCATAATTCTTTTTATGGGCTTCATGACCTTTATGATTATCATCAACTTCTTCAAAAAGTTTTCAACCCAGACGACCTGCGAGTGAGCCGACGTTATCAACAACGATTTGTTTGGATAAAAGTAGGGACTTTGGTTCCCGCGCCCACCTTTTGTTGTTTAAGTTCATGTACTTTGCCAAAGAGATTTCAATAATAGTAGTCACCAAAGGTTGTCCACCCTGAACATTTGCTTAGATAGTGCGAACCAGTGGCGTAGCCAGGAATTTTTCAGTGGGGGGCGCTGGGGGGGGGGGGGGGGGGGGCTGGAACATTTCATGGGGGATCATGTAGATCAATGATAATTTTTTTTTTAGAAACTCAAAATCTCAGTGGGGGGGGGGCGACTGGGGGGGGGGGGCGACAAGGTTTCATGGGGGCTATCGCCCCCCACGCAACCCCCCCCCCCTGGCTACGCCACTGGTGCGAACTGTTATACAAACAACCACGCTTATTGCAGGATTCGTGCGCTTATTTGGGGTCCTAGAAAGGTGGTTTTCATGCCAATTGTCGTGCTCCTCTGAGCCTGTGGTCTTTTTGGTAAACGAAATATACTGAAAAAAAATTTGAGGAAACATTGCAGGCTTGCAAGACTTAATGGCATTGAAATGGTATTCACTCAGCTAATTTGCGTTGACGACTTAGTCGACAAGACCCAAATTCGCTCCCAGCTTACCATAGCCGACTTTAGAGCACCTGCACCACAACCATTCATTCAGTGCTTTTCGACAAGCAAGTATAAGTTATTCTATAGTTTGTTTTGCCGTCTATACTGGCGGTTTTTTTTTACTGGTACCATTTATCACAAATTTGAGTAAACTGCTTCAAACCATCCAATCATGCACAATATGTGGTGCAATGGCCTACAGTTTGATAAATGGGACCAGATCAAAAAACAGGCATAACTTTCTTATTCGTGAACATTATGACCTTGATTGTCACATCTCATGAATGCTTAAAAGTTCAATGAGCGAACTTTGCAAAGGGTTATAGAAGTATCAGAAGATATCCAAAATGTAATCATGTCCAAATAATTTGGGGCCATGTGCTATTCCGTGCTTACGGAAAAACCCACAGAGATTGGCTTGGGTGGTAGATAGAGGAACATTTTTTTATTAGAGCTGCCGGTTAATATGAGCTTGAACTGTCAAATCTCTTAAGTTTTGAAGTTCGAGTCGAATGTAAAAGGTTGTTTGCCCAAAGTGCATTATTTGAGCACTGCAGTATAGTATATGTGTGTGTGTGTGTGTGGTTTTTGTTTTTCAATAACTCACCCTTTTCAAGTGTATTTCAGTTAAAGGTAACTCGGTCATAGTTCTTTTTCCGAGATAACATTGACAAAGTATATAATTGACAGTGTTGAATCCGTCTGGCACATACATTTGTTCAAGCACTTGACTTCTACCAATGTGTATTTAAAAAACTGAACATGACATTATGAGTTGAAAACCGCTGCGTAACCACTCCTTTTTGAGGGATCTGCATATAAACGACTGCGAGTTTATTTTTTCGATGACCAGTTGCCGACTTGATCGCACGCCTGTCTTGAACTTAACATCATGGAGCTGTTGGGGTATGATTTGTCCATGACTTGGATTCTGGCGATTGGTGCTGTGTTTTGTGTATCTATGGTGGGTATGGAACTGTTATTTTTCCACTGGTGAAACAAACAAGATAGGAATGGCTTTTTCTTTGAGGTCTAAATGAATCTACTCATCAATACTTATGGGTAGATATTCATAACACATCGCATCTTTTATTGTTTCTTTTTGTAATTTGCCTCTAAAAAAGGTCTTGCTGAGGCTATAATATAAGGCCATTTTAATATGTTTTGTTTAATTCGCTTAGCTTTACAAACTTTGCTATGCTAATACCAGGTTATTCCATTGTTATTTGCTAGCAAAAACTTGCAAACTCATTATTTTCTTAAGAAGCTGCTATGCAGGAAGCCAGCACTGTAACTTTTCTTTTTCATTGCTGCAAGCGCCCTCCGTAGCTTTTCAACTTCATTTTTGTATTTGTATTTTACTGATCTCTTTCTTCTATTGCAGGTATGATTGGTGGTGTCATCATTATTTCCAGAGACGAGGCATCCCTGTAGCTGACTATATTCCTATCTTTGGGAACAGGCTGCAATGGCGTGAGGTGAAATGACAATCTTTCGGTTAATTAAAATCTTCAATTGGCAAACATTGCACTCAGAAGATCCATGCAACACTCACAAAACCTGTTTTGGCATGAAATAAAGGTTGTTGTGCTGACATAATCGTAAAGCGGAGGTACCAACGAAATTGAAAGATGTAAACAAAATTTGATTTTGGTTTTATGTTTTTGTTTTACTAAAGTTGGTTTTGCACCATGATATATGTTTGTTTCTTGTACATCTAATCTACTCTGACAAACCGTCCGATCTTGATAATGATGTGCACACGCAGTTGGAGGATCGGCCGAGTTCATTTGTGATAATCTGGGAGTACAGAGAAGCACGGGACACCTCAATACCGCTGCAAAATTATGGCGCATGTCTTTAATCAAAAGCACATTCTCGTTTGTGATAGCCTGCCCTGATACAAATCCAATTACATAACAGCTTGTAGAGTCCATATTCTGGTCAAGGTAATGCGCCTATCAATTGTTTCCCCACCCCTCCCCCGGGCTGCCCCGCCCAAGGCGTGGGGATTGTCACTTTTTATGGTGACAAAATCCCCACTCCTCGGGTAAAATTTAAGTGACAATCCCGACATACATATGTGGGGCGCACTAGTGATTGCCTTTCCATGTAGTACGCCAATGTTAACAAGGTAATTTGAGTGACCAAAATCCCGACCCTGGGGCATGAAAAACGTGACCAAATCCCGACATCGGACCTGGGGTAGTGAGGGGGGGGGGGGGGGGTAGGGGGAAGGGGGGAACATTTGATAGGCGCATAACCATTATATATTTTTTTCTAAAGCAACGGCAAACTCCACCCGCAGAGCCTCTTCCATTGACCGTTATAATGATTTGACATTTTCCTGCTTATTTCTGATTTTGTCGGATGCAGGGAATTTGGAAGGCTATGGACGACTATCACAAGAAGCATGGAAAGGTGGTCGGGTGAGAAATTAAGATGAAATACAGAGAAGACCGAACACATTTCATAGAACATAGCAGAGACAACAAGTAATCCAGACAGATGTCTGACTGAACATCTGAGCTTGCAAAAGTTACAGATGTCTGACTGAACATCTGAGCTTGCAAAAGTTACCATGCAGGGTAGATGTATAAAGCCCTAAAAGCAATGAAATGATTGCATATAAGAACACAAGATCAGTTTAATTTTGGGCAAGTGAAAGAAATCAATAGGATACACGCACTAGTCGGCATAAGTAAGTCGGCAAAGGGCAAACCCTTCCAGTTACTTACAGACAACATCAGTAAATGTTGTCTTCTATTGTGACATTTAATTACGACGACGAATACTGCGCAATTTTTGTTTCTCATGTCATCGCTGACATTGTTGATGTTTCAAAATTGTTTTAATTTTCGTTCAGGATGTACGATTTTCAACGCCCAATTCTGATTGTCAGTGAACCCGAATTCCTGAAGAGTATCCTGGTCAAGAATTTCTCAATTTTCCCAACCATCGGGTAATGTTTATCATATTTATAAGATACCTATTAGCACTGTTTTCTCGTAAACCTGCAGAGGAAACCTGTCATGAATATATATAGAAAGCGAAGAATATCACTTTAGAAATCAGGATGATATTAGGACTGATAAAAAAACAACAAGGACCTCGCAATTTGGACAGGAAACCAAATTCACTGTAAATTTATAGGGAACACTAAAAAAAACCCAACAAAACATCAGTACATTTCCCGATAGTTAAGGAATATTCTGATAAGACCGTTACAGAGTATTAGCATTTGTTAATCGTTTTATTTGTCCCTGAGAATTTCCTCGGAAAATTTGCAAATAAATTTCCACTTGGTACACTCCGTAAGCCTATAAATATAAGGATGCGAAGGCTGGGGTTCGAAATTTGATGAAGTTTGATCCAAAACATCCTCCAATTTTCTCTTCCACTTGACAAAAAGCCTTTACAATACGAGACCGGTGCTCACCCCACATGTAGAGGTTCACGCAGTCTCTTTGAGAGGAAGTGTGAAGAATACGATAACGGATCGGCGGTGATTACAATCAGTCTATCATCTTTCTTTCCAATACAGAATCCGCCTATGGTTATCTTGGACCCATCCCCAGTCGGCAGAGGCATGTTCTTCTTGGTTGATAACGACTGGAGAAACATCCGCAACACGCTGACACCGTCATTCACCGCAGCTAAAATGAAATATGTAAAGTATTATTATATTCCCTCCAGCACTCAACAATATTTCAAATCATGACAAAATTAAACAGATTTCTTTTTTTTGTTTCTTAAATTAAAACTATTAACTCCTCGAAGGGGTAGTTCGCACTCAATCCCTAAAAAAAAATGTGCAGATAGAAAACGACGAACAGCGGTTGAGTTTTATTGTAGGAGTGAAATATTCTAGACGATGATATTGAACTGAATTGAATTGAATGAGCTTTGTTTACGGAGCACAATGCTCAGCCGTGACAAACCATTTGTGGAGCGAATGAGTATTACCTGTCACGACGCCATTTTGGCGGTTCAAACATAATACAGACGGAACTTCATAGGTAATTGACGTCAGTTTACCCGTTGATATACCTCCGAAATTATAGGCCTACCATTTTTTCCTCAATCTTTTTGATTGGGAGAGAGAAAAATAGTACTCCGTAGTACGTCGTTCCCCTGAACTTGATATTTTCATTTATGTCTTGTCATCACAGATGTCTCCACTGATCAACGAGTGTTGTGATACTCTACTTACAAGTATCAGCAATGCACGAAGTGAAGGCAAGGCCATCGACTGCAGAGCGTAAGTTGGATCATTGAGCAAGGACCCTATGGTCGGATAGGGTCTGTGATTTAGCGCAAGCCTTTTGGCGATAGCGTCCTCTTTGCATCATATTACGGTAAATTGTATAGAGAGGGCATAGCGCAGAATCTCCGCCCCTTCAGAAAGAGTCTTTTTTCTCTCAGAAGGTTTTTAAAAATGGAAGTCCCCCTCATGAAAAAAAAAATTATATATCTAAACTGTTTCTCCCGCCCCTTACCCTCGGCCATCCCTTTAAGAATGGACTGAGAAAATACAAAATATCGTACTAGGGACACTACTAAATGCTCATCCGCTCAGAACTGCTTATTATATACTGCATCAATTCAGGTTGTTTGGTGGCTTCACCATGGACGTGATTGCGTGCTGTGCCTTCGGTCTGAGTGTGAACTCCCAACAGGACAAGGATGATCCGTTTGTCCAGAATGCTAAGCTTCTCTTAGACGGCAGGGGCTTCAGAAGTATTTCGGCCTTTATTCTGTGTAAGTAGTCTGGTCACCAGACCTGATTATCGATGCTGTGTTTTGTCACATTGTGACATTTTTGCTGTTAACCAAGAAATGTATGCGGTTCTTTTCTGACACGTGCGCTAAACTTCACCGGGCTGTTTGGGTGCTAGTCGTGATTCCAGTCGCACATGTTCCGTGAGTGCATCGCATGCTGGAAACAACATGTGTGTATTGGTGCTGTGTTCAAGCACTACACATGACGTGTACTTGTACATTGAATCGTGTGACATCATGGACACCGAGGCTGGGGAAAACGTCCTAAAAGACTTAGATTTACCGACTGGAAATACGTATGCGTATGACCCAATGTCCGCCGCGTCAGCCTGAGTAAGTAACCGTTATTTGTCTTTTCTCAGGAACAGTGCGACGTTAAGTTAGTTGCTTTTCCACCAGACCTTTGAAATAGGATAAGTAAACAATCTTACACTTAGAAATTTCGGCGCTTCGGTACGATGTGCCCCTTTAAATTCGCTTCTCAAACGCTTGTGAAGGAAACGCGGATGCCGCAAAGCATTGTTGGTAGGTCAATTTCCTTACGTATGTACGTAACTATATTGCGTAAGCATTTGTCATACGCGGACGGAGGTAGTGTCCGGTTCAACAGAATCCAAGGTCGCTAGCGCCCTTGAATACGGTTATTTAACAATGATTTGGAATGTGCGGATGTTCGATGTTGATTGTTTTATATTCTGACAATAGACAACTGTCTTTTTTCGCAGCTTCCTTTCCATTCCTGGCACCCGTGTTTGCTTACTTCAGAGTTGGCTTATTTTTCGACCCATCGGCTGTGAAGTTTTTCCTTGGAGTGACGGAGTCTGCGCTCAAGATGCGCAATGAGGAGGGTGGCAAATCCTCCAAAGTAAGTCACTTCCAAAGTACGCAGAAAAACAAAGTGAGTAATTTGACTCAATATCGTAACAATTGAGTCATTTTGTCCATGTAGTGAGACACTTTGAGCCAAAGTGTGTCACTATACGGACAAAATTACTCATTTTTTTACGATAATGAGTCGAATTACTCACTTTGTGTTTTCTGTGTAAGTCACTTCCGTAAGTCCTTTATTGTTTTGGAAGTGGTTAATTTATTATCGAGCATCCTTTTCCTGATATATCAACAGAGCAGTTTTGCAATAACGGGAGAAAAATGTATTCAATAAGTATATTAATGGAAGGCGCGAAAAGAAACACCACGCACAAAAAGGTGGGGAATTATTCTGTCTGGCATCATGCTAATTAAAAATTAATTCATTGGAATTAAAATTTCATAATATTGTTGTTCAGGTAAAATACTATCATCATAGTCATACACAATGCAATGTCTCATTATATCTTTGGAAAATGTAAGAATACATATACGACACAACATTGGCAATTAATCCTACTTCTCAAAACTGTACAACAATGAAAAACTTCAACGACGTGGAACATGGGGATCCACTTGTGTATGAAACCCATTAACCTTTGTTTGTTGACTACACATGGTTCTAATATTTGACTGGTTCGTTGGTTCCCATTTCGTAGCGTATTGATCTCTTGCAACTGATGCTGAATGCTCACAATGACACTGATGTCGATCAGGAAGACACGCCCGTCCCAGGGGACGGCCCAGAAAGGGGCGTGATCCAACGCAAGCCCCTGTCAACCAGAGATATTATGGCTCAGGTGATTAAAGTTTTATTCAACTTGGCACCGCAAGCTCTAGGCTCTAGGTGTAGGAATTTAGTATACAGAGCAACCGACTTGCTTAAACTTCAATGGTGCCGATTAAAATCATGGCATTATGGACACTTAGGAATTTCAAACCTGTTTGTTTATTGAAAAAGGCGGTGAGACTAATAAGATACCATTTTCGAGTGGTACGCACCGTAGGTCGTACGTGCGCTCAATGTTTTTTGACCATTGGGGAGCTCTTCTCAAAACAAAGGACGTTATGGCTTTGAACTGTGACCACCGAATTCGTCTACGGGTACAATTTTTCGGTACAATTTTTCGTAACACCCCAACACCAATGCAGCAAGTAACAATTTGCAAATGTTGTTAATGACTATACCAGGCGGTTCAGTTCTTCCTGGCTGGGTACGAGACCACGAACACGCTTCTGACCTTCACTGCTTTCGTGCTGGCTACCAACCAAGATGTGCAAGAGAAACTGCACGCAGAGATTGACAACCTTGATCCCACGAAAGGCAACCTCGGCTATGACGTCATCGGCAAGATGGAGTACCTGGACATGGTGATCAGTGAAACACTGCGCATGTATCCCCCGTTAGCCTTGTAAGAATACGAATTTTGAGTTATTCCCTGTGAAAATATTTTTTTTTGTCAAGTGACATAACATCGATTCTCTATCCTCTTATCTTTCAATTATTGTTTTTATAACATTAGGCCTAGGTCTACATAAGAAAAGTTTTACGAGGCAAACCTCAGAAACACTCAGACCTGCAGCTGATTTGTTTGTTTAACTTCAATGGGTTCGACCTTAATTTTTTTGTTCACTAGCCAGCCGGGCTACTGAAACAGACTCTTAACTAGCCCGCGCGCATTTTTACTAAATAGCCCGCCTGTTTTTGTTTTGGGAGTGTCTCATAAACAACAATGTGCATACATGTAAAACGTGTATCCTGAGGCAATCTTGTCAGTGTTAACATATCTAATAATTTAACGCTAAACAGTTAATAAAATGAGACAGCAATTGACGCAGGTTTGCTTTCTGAATTAAATAATTTATTTCTTCCTGTCCTTTCATCTTTGCCGTAGCCCAATAATGTTTGACTAACCAGCCGGGCTTCTTAAAGGGAATATACATCATTTGCTTTTGCTGTAATTTTCAGCAATGGATGGAATTGGGGGGGGGGGGGGGTTGGAAATATATAGCAAATATAGTAAGACTGACTTTTTTTGAGGTTTTGGGTTCGAAAATGTTATAAAAAACCAAGAAAAACAATCATTTTCCTGTAGTCTGGTTCCCCGACTCCATATAAGAAGAAACAGAGCAATTTACATACATTGGGGAATTGTAAGGTCAGGGAACCAGTCTAGCTGGCTTGTACCCGTTCATAGGTGTGTAATCGATTGCAAACAAGTGCGATGGTCAATGGGGGCCAGTATTTGAAAAAAGCCACTTTTTTTCCAACGCTGGTCGGCCGACCAGCGTTGGAAATTGATACAAAAATACCACTTTTCTTGAAAATGACAGTATACCAGGTGCCATGATTTTACAGGATGCTTTACACTGTCATTCACTAACAGTCCAGCAAGGTATTTCAAAATGATTTGGTAGTTTTATTTTTTGATGTTTGCAAATGTTGTATTTTCCCTTGAAGGAATAATTTGACTAGCACGCCGCTGTTTTGACTAGCATTTGGCTTATTCATTCTTCGAGTTGATTGCAGTCTCGATAGCGGGCAGCAACTTTTGTATTACCTTTTCTATAATTGCCTCAACCTTCTTCGTTTGGCTTTTCAAATACTATATTTTGTCTTCTGAAAACGATTTTACTAGACTGAAAATTATTAAGATATAATGATATCCACAGTTCATCTGCGAATGCCCATGATAACATTTACTGAAATGTTTTTTTTCTCAGTCTTAACCGGGTCTGCAATGAGACAGTATGTTGCGATGGCCTCGTCATTGAAAAAGACATCCACGTGTTAATTTGCGTCTGGAACCTTCATCATAGCGAGGAATACTGGAACAACCCGTACAAATGTGATCCTGAAAGGTACAATTAGATAATATAAATACAAATCGTCAAAGCTCTGTTGAATGTTTTGGATTGCGGTCCTGTGATGTGGTATAGGTTTTCCCGGCCAATTTCCTACAATGTTCATATGATCACTTCTGAAAATCGGTGATTCATTTTCGACTGAATTTGAGAATCGTTTTGAACGCACGTTTCTTTTTCGCTATACCAAAACATTCGATTCCATTTCAGTTCAATCAATTAAGTGATTGAGCAGCACCTTTCGTTTATGTCCATTAAGATTCGTTTACAGGACTTCTTTTTCGCTTTTTAGAGGGCTATTTCAAACATTCACCATTCTATTTCAATTTGAGTTTAATGCCATTGGCACCAGATACAATGACGGGTTTCTTTTTCATTAACCGTCAATCAAATTAGCTGTGCCTGAAATCAATTTAGAAAAGGTATGCTTGCGTATAATGCACGGGTAACTTAAATGGCCGTTTGTTTCTCAAAACCGAATGCACAGACAATGAAAACGGTTAAACTTTCGTTGAATTGAAATGGGATTCAAGACAAATTCAGACGAAAACGAAGGACTGATTTTCAGAAGTGAATGAATATTTCAGGAACGCGTTCAAATTTCAGATTCGCGATAGAGAGATATTCGCATATACTCAACGGTCAGAAGATTGGTCACAATATTGAAATAGTGGTGCAAAGTTCACATGTGTCAAGGAGCATTTACCGGATATGTTAGTTTCTGTTTGCTGGCTAATTGCAGTGCACACTGGATATACCTTTACATTTAAAAGGTTTCCCAAGATTTAATCATGGAATACCTGAGAGTATAAATGATGGGATTATTTGAAATTTGATTTAATTGTTTGGGTTGCCATTTTAGGTTCAGCCCTGAGAACAAGGCCTCCATCAAACCGTACACCTACCTGCCGTTTGGCTTCGGTCCAAGAATCTGCTTCGGCATGCGCTTTGCCTTGCTGGAAGGCAAGATGGCGCTGGTCCGTATGCTGCAGCAGTATCGTGTCGATGTCTGCTCTGAAACCGAGGTAATGCCAGATGAATACAATTAAATCAAGTGATATGCTTTACGCATGTGCGTTGAGCTCAGAGACTTTACTTGGATGTAGAAAAAAACAACACAAATGTTGTCTTGCCTACTCTGGAGGGATACATACAGCGAGAGAAGAAAACAGAGATTCATAAGTAGTTTCGTTATACCTTTCGGTTGCTAAATCACGGAATGTACTCGCTCAAAAGTCTGCCTTGCTTTGGCAGGCATGATATGGTTGAAGATAACTATCAACCAGACGATAGCGCCAAGGTCTTATAAAGGGGGTCTACCCGATGCTCCCCAATACCTATGTTCCCCAATACCGATGTTCCCCGAAATCCTTAGGGTTAGGGTTAGGGTTAGGGTTAAGGTTAGGATTAGGGTAAGGATTTCGGGGAACATCGGTATTGGGAAACATAGGTATTGGGGAATTTAGGTATGTACCCCTTGTAAAGTCTAATGTGATTATCACTGTGAATTATTTTTCTTCAGATTCCGGTTCCGCTTAGCAAGACTGGACTTATTGCTCCCAAGAAGCTGATGTTAAACATCCTGCCGAGAAACTAGATCAGTAAAAGCACCTGCTCGTGTTTTTTTTCTTCTGATTTTCGAAGCATCACTTTCTGTTTGGTTTTTCCCCCTCCACTTTCTATTCATGCCCCTAATCGCCAAAACATGGGTACACCCCTTCCCGTATATGTTTAAAGACAGTTAAGTATAGGTTTTCCCGGCCAATTTCGCAAAAATAGCATTTGAATTCATCTTGATAATGGCCAATTTGAAGCGAAGTAGCGCCCTGCTGTCATTCCGGTGGTTCGTATTAGATTTCAGGCGTTCAAATTCGTTTTAAGACCTTACATTTTCATGTTTTACACATCCTAAAGTGAAGTTATGTCGTTAGGTTTAAGTGATCATTCAATTCAGCTGGCGGTTTGGTTTAGGGTTATTTGCACGAGATCCTTGTTTTCGTTTTGCATTCAAAATGAAAGTCAACAAATTAGGTATACGATGCGAGTCTTTTCATTTCTTTCACCTTTTGATTATTTCTGCTTCATGTCGTGGTCCATTTTTGTGTTTCTGGCCCCTCCTCTTGGCAGGATTTCCCGTCTGCCAGGTCTCAGATACGTGGCTACAATTGACCTGCAGCAGTAGATCTGTTTATGCCAAGATTGTCTGCACGCGTTCAAGATAGTCTTGGGCATTGCCATCGAAAACTTTGATGATGACCACGGTCTACATTTGACATTTTCATGTAACGCCCATGAGCTGGCATATTGATATTTCTAGTGCTTCAATCTAACAGTTTGCATGGTGATCAGAGTAGTGGCAGATTCTTGTGGAAGACAAGACAGAGTCTTGTAACAAAAACACTCCACTTAACAAACAACGGAACGACAAGGACCTATTTCGAATTACTTTGCTTACTTTTCACATATGCTTGCTTAATGTAATTCGAATGACCAAACTTACAAAGCTTGAAGCTCCGGCGAATTTGCATGCTCGTTTGTGCAATTTTAATTTGAATGTCCTATTTTTGAAATGGCATGATTAAAATGTAAAATCGCATGCTCCTAATGGGAAATTGAGTGGTGTTTTTAAGTAATTGAATGTTAATCTCAACGTGCATTCAAATTGTGCGAAAATGGGTGATTGGTTGCCAATTTGGCCGCCAAATCTGCTAACTTGGCCGGGAAAACCTATACAATTAACTTTTGTGATTAAGTACAATTAAACCTTTGTCGAATGTCATCTGAAATATAGGGTTTTAAATGGGTCTAATTAGGTCAATATATCACGAAATCTCCTTTAATAGTCGGTGTTTGAAATCAAAATGAAGGTTATGTTGCATGGGTCTAAGATAATCATTTGTGTCAAAGTTATGTACCAACGCTTGTAAATGCCTTGATAGAACTGAATTCTCAAATCGTCTGAATCATCGGTTTGGAAACTGATATGACCTGTAGTTTTAATGTGAATATGAAAACTGTATGAAATGATAGTAGGCAAATTTTGAGGAATTACATGTTATTTCAGTAAGATGTAATCATTTTGTTAAACCATATTTAGACAGTGTGGTGTAATCTTGCTTAATTTTTTTCACATATTAAATTTGAATTCTTTACAATTTCATTACATACTATTTCTTAACTATTTAGATTAATTTGCTTTATTGTACTTCGTTTGTAGTCGTGTGTATAGTCTCGTTAAATGATCGATGCTCTCAAGTAACATTCCAGTAATTGATAGTAGTATAATATTGTTTAACACCATTTTCACCAGGTAGATAGAATTGTTGTTTTTGCCTTGGGTGAACGTTTGCATCCCATTTGTTCCATTTCCTGAATTGTTCTACATATCAAACTTGAATGTTGCTTATTAATAATAACACTAATTCACATCCAATTTATCGTGATAATTTGCATTTTATTAGGCTGTAGATTGCTTGATATTATTCCTTTGATAAATTGAATTGACATTTCGTCAAATTACGTCAAGATATTTGTCTAACACAAGTGTCAAAGTTGCGTCAAAAGTTTATTCTAAGGAAAGTCTCTTTTATAAAACATCCAAAAGAAGCATAGTCCATCGGACACATTTTTCATTGAAAGCACTCTGAGACATTTCAACTTTGATTTCTTCCAAAGATGTTCATCTTTGCATTATTTTTAAACTCTCATTGTGATGTTTTACCGGTAGTTATGTAATTATTTATATTGTAATGCATACAGTTTTTACCTCTGTCTATTTTTAAAAATGTTTTTTTTTTTTATGTAAACCTGCCCAAAATTTAGCCTTTTAATAATAATCTAATCAAGATTAGCTATATTAGACATTGACCTCGATTTCATGATGTAATGTTTACTGTACAGGGAGTGCGTTCGATTACTTCCCCCAGCTTAATCGCGCCTGGCTCCTCTCGTGATGACAGACATGCGCAGTGGAGCTAAATAAACGAATGGTTTCGGGTAAAGTTCGTGCAAGAGCTGGAAAGTTGAACTTTGACATGACACTGATGAGGCGCCCGCCGGACGTCACGTTGGCAGCCATGATTATTGCATGGCCTTATGGGATACTTACCCAAGTAACCGGCTCGGCGAGTCGGTTACTTGGGCCAGGCTCGAGAAAACGCGAGAAGTCACGTGAGAGGTAAATCGAACGCTGTCGCGCTTGCACGAGTAAGCGCGGGGAAGTAATCGAACGCACTCTTTGTGTGACACCGAGATTAGTACGTGTATTATTTGTATTTGGACACAAAACGCACTATAGACCCTTAGCATCAAGTAGCCATGTTTGAGGCATTTTGTGTAGTTTTTAATGAATGCATAAAGGTCTACCCATGCACACCCCAAGAATGGCTGCAAAGCTAATGATCTATGAATTTATTAGATTGACATTAGATTTACTTGTAATTAAATTTCACATTTTGGAATTAAAATTCCTTTGACATAAACTAAACATCAGCTATTGTATACGGTACAAAACGGTAAAAATTAAACAAGCGGCTTGTTCAAAGCAGTCTTGATGAAGAGTGAATTACGTACCAAACTAGAAGTGCGAGATATCTGGTATAGGCTTCGCATAATGTGAATTAAAAGGACTGCGCAGCCTAACAACAAGAACGAATAAAAACTGGTTCCCGATCGCTCTACTCTGTACAAGCCAACATCGAAAAGAGGAATGGCGACCAGTCAGGAAGTGATAGCAACACCAAGCTTATTCATCCTTTACTTAATTAGTAATCGTGATGTGGAAAAGCACCACACAACGATAGTAATGTCTCATATTGTCAATGTCAAGGATACTTATTTTTTTTCAGCAAAAAAAAATAAGAATACTCGGAAAGATATATCATCAAACAATAAGGGTACACGTTAAATGCAACGGACATGGGTAAACAATTTCCTTAATTGGTCAAAACTAGTCTAAGATTAAAATAATACTAATAATCGTAAAAAAAAAACCCGGCTACGTCTCAGACTCAGATGAAGTAGGCACAGGAGTCTAGGTGTGGTTGCAAACAATTATGAGTTGGATGGTTAGTTCCTTGGAATGGCCTTCAGATTTATATTCTTGGGTGACATGAGACCTGCCTTGCCAACAGTTGGTGGGATCTGAAGAAAAATGAAAAGATATCATAATAAAGGTATTTAGTTAAAGGTATACTAGAATGCCGACGCAGACAGCCTAATTTAATATTTCCCCTCTGAACAGATTACCCTTCTCAGTTAGGGTTCGCTTAGTCTACAAGAACATCCCCCTTCTGAAAAAAAACCCACCGGGTAAAAAGAATATTTCTCCAGGTATCTGACTTTTTTCATGGTATAACATGTCGTATTGTGGTTTGGTAACCGAACTACCTCGGTTTCTGAGCACACATCGAAGCGATACTGCTGCATCACACGGACCAGCGCCATCTTGGCTTCCAGCAAGGCAAAGCGCATACCGATGCAGTTACGAGGACCGAGGCCGAACGGCATGAAGGTGCACGGTTTGATGGAGGCCTTGTTCTCAGGGCTGAACCTGAAACAATGAGATGTAAAATTGTGGAAAAGAAGTGACATCTGTTTGACCTTTAAATTTGAATGTTATATTATCAGCCAACGGGCAAAGGAAATAAAGTACGTGGGATTAGAGTATCTTTTGGCCGAAGAAAAACCTAGGTAGAAGTAATAAAAATCATCAAGATTGCAATCTTATATGTTAAAATTAATGAATGTAGTACAAATTATAACACTAGAGATGAAAAGTAAAAACAACTTGACGTTGTTCATCAGTTACAAGTTGTCACAGTCTGTAATAAGTGTTGGCAGGTTGGAATGACAAGGGTTATGACTGGCTGTCTCATTCTGTGACAGGCTGTGACAGGATGTGACAGGATGTATCTGTAGAATACCGTGAACAATCCTTGACAGGATATCCCGCACAGCGATATGGTTAGTTGTGACAAGTTGTGATTGTAACACGCTCAGACTTGTTATAGATGCTTCGGACAAATTGTGTCTGCCTTTCACGGATTGTAAAGATAGGTTCGGACAGGTTGTGACACGTCGTGATAACTTGTGACAAGTTGTGGTTGCCTATTGACAGATGAATACGACAGGTGGGTGACAGGTTGTAACATAGTTGGATAGTTTGTAACAGTTGTGTGACTATTAGTGACACAAATTGAGGAGGCATTACCTCTCGGGATCAAACTTCTCGGGATTGTTCCAGTATTCCTCGTCATGATGAATAGTCCAGACACTGGCAATCACTCCCACACCCTTTTCAATGGTGAGGCCCTCGTAGGTGATGGTATCATTGCACGCACGATCAAACCTACACAAAGGGAAGCACTTCATAGACAAATATAAACAAATAGGCGGGCAGCCGAATTCTCATATAAGTATGTTTCAAATCTGTAAATGATTATATTGAACGTCGGAAAATATTAAATGCATTGTTCAACCCGGAGTTACCGCCTGTTTCATATTAATTTTTATTTATTTTATTTTATATCTTCGGACAAAAATTAAAAATCTATTTAAAAGAAAAAGTGAAATTGTCCTGGTCTAGACAAAAGACCAGGACAATCATTTCGTGTTCAGGGGCGTATCACAGTCATTTTTATTGGGGGGGGAGGAATTTTTTTTAAAAAGGGCACTTGTACATCCGTTGTGAAATGTAGACAGATGTACAAATTATTGGGGGGTTAGCCCGTTCAAAAAAGGCATATGAATGGAACAAGGCAGTCTTTACAAAATATTGGGGGGGGGGGGGGGTAAATACCACACTTACCCCCCCCCCCCCCCCCCCCCCCCCCCCGCTGGTTACGCCTATGGTGTTTATCTCTTAACTGCGGATGTATACCTAGAAAGTTAAGATTCCCATTAGAAAAGTAGTCCTTCAATCCAAGTGGAGTGTAAAGTGTTTCTTACATGACTGCTGGGGGATACATGCGCAGTGATTCATTGATCACCATGTCCAGGTACTCCATCTTGCTGATGACGTCATAACCGAGGTTGTCACGTGTGGGAGCGAGGTTGTCAATCTCAGCGTGCAGTTTCTCTTGCGTGTCTTGGTTGGTAGCCAGCAGGTAGGCGGTGAAGCCCAGCAGCGTGTTGGTGGTCTCGTAACCAGCCAGGAAAAACGTGAGCGACTGATGAGGACAAGAAACAAAAATAGTGCAATGCATTCTTTGACAATTAAAGCGTTGCAACGTGTTCTGTGCCCGAATGCCATTGAGGGAGCCATCGTATTTACGTGCCAAGCAAACTCGGCCGGGAACCAGTGATGGGGAAACTGTGTCACACTAGACTATGTCTGGTAAACTGTGATGGTTTAGCAAAGCTTTCCTCAGTAACGTTGGTAGTGTGCATGGAATAGCTCAAAGAAATCGTTTGCGGGCAGTGAAAAAAACCCATTTAGTTTCGTTAAAAGTTCTATAAAATCTCCATTAACTAATTGTAGGCAAACCCCAAACCCCTCGATAAATACAGACAGCATTCTCCTTCGATGACCGATAGGCATATAGGCTATCTCGCTTCTCAAAGTTTCCGATGCGCAATTAAAACCCTACTACAAATTCACCTGCGCCATGACATCCTCTGTCGACAGGAGCTTGCGTTGGACCACGCCCTTTCCCTTGGCTTTGTCTGAAGAGGGCGTGTCTTCCTGATCAACCTCGGGGTCATTGTGAGCATTCAGCATCAACTGAAGAAGATCAACGCGCTGTCAAATGGAAGCAGCAGCGATAACATCTTAGGTTCGTGCTCATTACAATCTTACATTTCTATACGAAGAATTATAAGATTGCAAGGACACGTTCCTGATAAACAAAAATTACAATCTGCTTTTGTCAAGCCTTGCTTAGTTTGATATACCCCTCTCTTTTAAAGCTCTCTATGTTGGTTGACGTCATGCACTCAAGTCCACAACACGCATCGCAATGCAGGAGTCATTTTGCAAAAGGAAAACGAGCTGAAAAAGGAGTGAGTGTTTTTTTCCCAAAGATACAATTAACACCAACACATTAAAAAACTAAAGACTATTGGTTAAAGTGCATGCAAGGGACCTCTTATTAGTCATTTTTGTAAAATTAATACATCTTACGAGGACAAAATCATGGGTGTCGCGAGGGGGGGGGGGGGCAAGGGGGGCACTGGGGGGCACTTGCCCCCCCCCTAGAAAAGCAAAAAAAAAGGAAGAAAAAGAAAAGAAAAAAAGAAAAGAAAAAGAGGCGCGAAGACAAAGTGGTGTAAATTTAATGAGTTCGGGGGGGGGGGGCAAAATGTCCCTGTCCCCCTCTAAAACTGATAAATCGAGAATGTGTTGAGAAATACAAGCATTTTTTTTTTTTTTTTTGCCCCCCTCTAGAAAAAATCCTGGCGACGCCCATGGACAAAATCACTGTCTTCTTGAAAACAACGCCCTCTTTGTGGGCAGCTCTTTGTTCCTCTGTGATATACATGAGTATAGACACTTTTATACATTTGTTGTTACATAGTTTTAAACAACAAAACCTATCCTCGATGAGGGCGCTATGTGCAAGGGTCTATTGGATGACTGATCTCTGAGGGCGTAAATAAATAAACAGGCCAAAAATCTATCTGCCGAGCTCATGAATTGATATATATTAGAGCGTTCTGAAAGGCATTGAAGGGCAGAGCACCTCTAGCATGGACTTGGGGCTTCCAACTCTGAGCATATTGGATGCAATTGGGTCCGAAAGTGGCGCTATTTAGCCATGTGCTGGAGGAATCCTTTTTCAAAATTGGCTACTTTTCCAGTTTGGGAAATAATCGTTTTATGGGGTGGTATGTTTTATTATCATTTTTCTGTGCAGCCTGAACACCTGTGGGTTCTGAGTATTTTTAAAAGGATTTTGAAGTATGGGTTTAAGTTCATGTACTTTGCCAAAGAGATTTCAATAAAAGTAGTCACCAAAGATTGTCCACCCTGAACATTTGCTTAGATAGTGCGAACTGTGATACAAACAACCACGCTAATTGGCAGGATTTGGGGTCCTAGAAAGGTGGTTTTCATGCCAATTGTCGTGTTCTTCTGAGCCTGTGGTCTTTTGGGTAAACGAAATATACAGGAAAAAAAATTGAGGAAACATTGCAGGCTTGCAAGACTTAATGGCATTGAAAAGGTATTCACTTAGCTAATTTGCGTTGACGAATTTAGTCGACAACACCCCAACCCCATCTCAGTTTACCATATAGCCGACTTCAGTCGACAAGGAAACATCCCTGCAGAGCACCCGCACAACAGATTCATTCAGTGCTTTTCAACAAGCTAGTATTTTATGATCTGCACCGTCCATACTGACGTAGTAAATGTTTAGTGGTACCATTACCCAACATTTGAGAAAACTTCTTCAAACCATCCATGCACAATTATGGAGTGCCATTTGGTCATGTGGTGAAATGGCCTGCAGTTTGATAAATAGGACCATATCAAAAACAGGCATAACTTTCGTATTTTTGCACATATGACCTTGATTGTCGCATCTCACGAATGAGTAAAAGTTCAATGAGCGAACTTTACAAATGGCTAAGTGAGTATCAGAAGATATCCAAAATGTAATCATGTCCAAATAATTTGGGGCCATGTGCTATTCCGTGCTTACGGAAAAACCCAAAGAGATTGGCTTGGATGGTAGATAGAGGAACAATTGTTTTTATTAGAGCTGCCGGTTAATATGAGCTTGAACTGTCAAATCTCTTAAGTTTTGAAGTTCGAGTCGAATGTAAAAGGTTGTTTGCACCACAGTGCATTATTTGCGCACTGCAGTATAGTATGCATGGGGGTGACCACAAATTCGTAGCCTTGTGGAGACTCACACACAATAGTGAACAAAACATTGTGAAGGTCTCCACAGCGCAATTTCTATAGATGAATAGGTCTCCACAAGGTTTTCACGAAATAGATATATGGGTTTTACTAAAAAAACTAGGAATTTCCAAGGTGGGTTGATCCGTCGCAAATGGAAGAGTTTTAGAAAAGGGATATTAATTCCAAATTTCAGCCAAGGAAACTCATTCTGGTTAAAATAAGAGCATTTTGAAAATTCACTTTCAAAATTGAACACTTTACTACACGGGAACAAAGAAATGTCTCCACAAGGATACACATTTTGGAGTGGGTGTGTGTGTGTGTGGTTTTTGTTTTTCAATAACTCACCCCTTTCTTAAGTTTTGAAGTTCGAGTCGAATGTAAAAGGTTGTTTGCCCCACAGTGCATTATTTGCGCACTGCAGTATAGTATGCATGGGTGTGTGTGTGTTTGTTTTTCAATAACTCACCCCTTTCAAGTGTATTTCAGTCTAAAGGTAACTCGGTCATAGTTCTTTTTCCGAGATAACATTGACAAAAGTATATAATTGACAGTGTTGAATCCGTCTGGCACATACATTTGTCCAAGCACTTGACTTTTACCAATGTGTATTTAAAAAACAGAATATGACATTATCAGCTAAAAACCGCTGCGTAAGCATTCCTTTTTGAGGGATCTGCATATAAACGACTGCGAGTTTATTTTCGATGACCAGTTGCCGACCTGATGGCACGCCTGTCTTGAACTGAACATCATGGAGCTGTTGGGGTATGATTTGTCCATGACTTGGATTCTGGCGATTGGTGCTGTGTTTGTGTATCTATGGTGGGTATGGAACTGTTATTTTTCCACTGGTGAATACAATACAAGATAGGAATGGCTTTTTCTTTGAGGTCTAAATGAATCAACTCATCAATACTTATGGGTAGATATTCATAACACATCTTATCTTTTATTGTTTCATTTTGTAATTTGCCTCTAAAAAAAGGTCTTGCTGAGGCTATAATATAAGGCCATTTTAATTTGTTTTTTTTAATTCGCTTAGCTTTACAAACTTTGCTATGCTAATACCAGGTTATTCCATTGTTATTTGCTAGCAAAAACTTGCAAACTCATTATTTCCTTAAGAAGCTGCTATGCAGGAAGCCAGCACTATAACATTTCTTTTTTCATTGCTATGCTGCAAGCGCCCTCCGTAGCTTTTTAACTTCATTTTTGTATTTGTATTTTACTGATCTCTTTCTTCTATTGCAGGTATGATTGGTGGTGTCATCATTATTTCCAGAGACGAGGCATCCCTGTAGCTGACTATATTCCTATCTTTGGGAACAGGCTGCAATGGCGTGAGGTGAAATGACAGTCTTTCGGTTTTTCAATTGGCAAATATTGCACTCAGAAGATCCATGCAACACTCACAAAACCTGTTTTGGCATGAAATAAAGGTTGTTGTGCTGACATAATCGTAAAGCGGAGGTACCAACGAAATTGAAAGATGTAAACAAAATTTGATTTTGGTTTTATGTTTTTGTTTTACTAAAGTTGGTTTTGCACCATGATATATGTTTGTTTCTTGTACATCTATTCTACTCTGACAAACCGTCCGATCTTGATAATGATGTGCACGCGCAGTTGGAGGATCGGCCGAGTTCATTTGTGATAATCTGGGAGTACAGAAGCTCGGGACACCTCAATACCGCTGCAAAATTATGGCGCATGTCTTTAATCAAAAGCACATTCTCGTTTGTGATCGCCTGCCCTGATACAAATCCAATTACATAACAGCTTGTAGAGTCCATATTCTGGTCAAGGTAATGCGCCTATCAATTGTTTCCCCACCCCTCCCCCGGGCTGCCCCGCCCAAGGCGTGGGGATTGTCACTTTTTATAGTGACAAAATCCCCACTCCTCGGGTAAAATTTAAGTGACAATCCCCGACATACATAATTATGTGGGGCGCACTAGTGATTGCCTTTCCATGTAGTACGCCAATGTTAACAAGGTAATTTGAGTGACCAAAATCCCGACCCTGGGGCATGAAAAACGTGACCAAATCCCGACCTCGGGCCTGGGGTAGTGAGGGGGGGGGGGGTAGGGGGAAGGGGGGGGGGTGGTAAATTTGATAGGCGCATAACCATTATATATTTTTTTCTAAAGCAACGGCAAACTCCACCCGCAGAGCCTCTTCCATTGACCGTTATAATGATTTGACATTTTCCTGCTTATTTCTGATTTTGTCGGATGCAGGGAATTCGGCAGGCTATGGACGACTATCACAAGAAGCATGGAAAGGTGGTCGGGTGAGAAATTAAGATGAAATACAGAGAAGACCGAACACATTTCATAGAACATAGCAGAGACAACAAGTAATCCAGACAGATGTCTGACTGAACATCTGAGCTTGCAAAAGTTACGGATGTCTGACTGAACATCTGAGCTTGCAAAAGTTACCATGCAGGGTAGATGTATAAAGCCCTAAAAGCAATGAAATGATTGCATATAAGAACACAAGATCAGTTTAATTTTGGGCAAGTGAAAGAAATCAATAGGAAACACGCACTAGTCGGCATAAGGAAGTCGGCAAAGGGCAAACCCTTCCAGTTACTTACAGACAACATCAGTAAATGTTGTCTTCTATTGTGACATTTAATTACGACGACGAATACTGCGCAATTTTTGTTTCTCATGTCATCGCTGACATTGTTGATGTTTCAAAATTGTTTTAATTTTCGTTCAGGATGTACGATTTTCAACGCCCAATTCTGATTGTCAGTGAACCCGAATTCCTGAAGAGTATCCTGGTCAAGAATTTCTCCAATTTTCCCAACCATCGGGTAATGTTTATCATATTTATAAGATACCTATTAGTACTGTTTTCTCGTAAACCTGCAGAGGAAACCTGTCATGAATATATATAGAAAGCGAAGAATATCACTTTAGAAATCAGAATGATATTAGGACTGATAAAAAACAACAAGGACCTCGCAATTTGGACAGGAAACCAAATTCACTGTAAATTTATAGGGAACACTAAAAAAAACCCAACAAAACATCAGTACATTTCCCGATAGTTAAGGAATATTCTGATAAGACCGTTACAGAGTAACAGCATTTGTTAATCGTTTTATTTGTCCCTGAGAATTTCCTCGGAAAATTTGCAAATAAATTTCCACTTGGTACACTCCGTAAGCCTATAAATATAAGGATGCGAAGGCTGGGGTTCGAAATTTGATGAAGTTTGATCCAAAACATTCTCCAATTTTCTCTTCCACTTGACAAAAAGCCTTTACAATACGAGACCGGTGCTCACCCCACATGTAGAGGTTCACGCAGTCTCTTTGAGAGGAAGTGTGAAGAGTACGATAACGGATCGGCGGTGATTGCAATCAGTCTATCATCTTTCTTTCCAATACAGAATCCGCCTATGGTTATCTTGGACCCGTCCCCAGTCGGCAGAGGCATGTTCTTCTTGGTTGATAACGACTGGAGAAACATCCGCAACACGCTGACACCGTCATTCACCGCAGCTAAAATGAAATATGTAAAGTATTATTATATTCCCTCCAGCACTCAACAATATTTCAAATCATGACAAAATTAAACAGATTTCTTTTTTTTGCTTCTTAAATTAAAACTATTAACTCCTCGAAGGGGTAGTTCGCTCTCAATCCCTAAAAAAATGTGCAGATAGAAAACGACGAACAGCGGTTGAGTTTTATTGTAGGAGTGAAATATTCTAGACGATGATATTGAACTGAATTGAATTGAATGAGCTTTGTTTACGGAGCACAATGCTCAGCCGTGACAAACCATTTGTGGAGCGAATGAGTATTACCTGTCACGACGCCATTTTGGCGGTTCAAACATAATACAGACGGAACTTCATAGGTAATTGACGTCAGTTTACCCGTTGATATACCTCCGAAATTATAGGCCTACCATTTTTTCCTCAATCTTTTTGATTGGGAGAGAGAAAAATAGTACTCCGTAGTACGTCGTTCCCCTGAACTTGATATTTTCATTTATGTCTTGTCATCACAGATGTCTCCACTGATCAACGAGTGTTGTGATACTCTACTTACAAGTATCAGCAATGCACGAAGTGAAGGCAAGGCCATAGACTGCAGAACGTAAGTTGGATCATTGAGCAAGGACCCTATGGTCGGATAGGGTCTGTGATTTAGCGCAAGCCTTTTGGCGATAGCGTCCTCTTTGCATCATATTACGGTAAATTGTATAGAGAGGGCATAGCGCAGAATCTCCGCCCCTTCAGAAAGAGTCTTTTTCTCTTAGAAGGTTTTTAAAAATGGAAGTCCCCCTCATGAAAAAAAAAAATATATCTAAACTGTTTCTCCCGCCCCTTACCCTCGGCCATCCCTTTAAGAATGGACTTAGAAAATACAAAATATCGTACTAGGGACACTACTAAGTGCTCATCCGCTCAGAACTGCTTATTATATACTGCATCAATTCAGGTTGTTTGGTGGCTTCACCATGGACGTGATTGCGTGCTGTGCCTTCGGTCTGAGTGTGAACTCCCAACAGGACAAGGATGATCCGTTTGTCCAGAATGCTAAGCTTCTCTTAGACGGCAGGGGCTTCAGAAGTATTTCGGCCTTTATTCTGTGTAAGTAGTCTGGTCACCAGACCTGATTATCGATGCTGTGTTTTGTCACAGTGTGACATTTTTGCTGTTAACCAAGAAATGTATGCGGTTCTTTTCTGACACGTGCGCTAAACTTCACCGGGCTGTTTGGGTGCTAGTCGTGATTCCAGTCGCACATGTTCCGTGAGTGCATCGCATGCTGGAAACAACATGTGTGTATTGGTGCTGTGTTCAAGCACTACACATGACGTGTACTTGTACATTGAATCGTGTGAAATCATGGACACCGTGGCTGGGGAAAACGTCCTAAAAGACTTAGATTTACCGACTGGAAATACGTATGCGTATGACACAATGTCCGCCGCGTCAGAAGTAAGTAACCGTTATTTGTCTTTTCTCAGGAACAGTGCGACGTTAAGTTAGTTGCTTTTCCACCAGACCTTTGAAATAGGATAAGTAAACAATCTTACACTTAGAAATTTCGGCGCTTCGGTACGATGTGCCCCTTTAAATTCGCTTCTCAAACGCTTGTGAAGGAAACGCGGATGCCGCAAAGCATTGTTGGTAGGTCAATTTCCTTACGTATGTACGTAACTATATTGCGTAAGCATTTGTCATACGCGGACGGAGGTAGTGTCCGGTTCAACAGAATCCAAGGTCGCTAGCGCCCTTGAATACGGTTATTTAACAATGATTTGGAATGTGCGGATGTTCGATGTTGATTGTTTTATATTCTGACAATAGACAACTGTCTTTTTTTCGCAGCTTCCTTTCCATTCCTGGCACCCGTGTTTGCTTACTTCAGAGTTGGCTTATTTTTCGACCCATCGGCTGTGAAGTTTTTCCTTGGAGTGACGGAGTCTGCGCTCAAGATGCGCAATGAGGAGGGTGGCAAATCCTCCAAAGTAAGTCACTTCCAAAGTACGCAGAAAACACAAAGTGAGTAATTTGACTCAATATCGTAACAATTGAGTCATTTTGTCCATGTAGTGAGACACTTTGAGCCAAAGTGTGTCACTATACGGACAAAATTACTCATTTTTTTACGATAATGAGTCGAATTACTCACTTTGTGTTTTCTGTGTAAGTCACTTCCGTAAGTCCTTTATGGTTTTGGAAGTGGTTAATTTATTATCGAGCATCCTTTTCCTGATATATCAACAGAGCAGTTTTGCAATAACGGGAGAAAAATGTATTCAATAAGTATATTAATGGAAGGCGCGAAAAGAAACACCACGCACAAAAAGGTGGGGAATTATTCTGTCTGGCATCATGCTAATTAAAAATTAATTCATTGGAATTAAAATTTCATAATATTGTTGTTCAGGTAAAATACTATCATTAGTCATACACAATGCAATGTCTCATTATATCTTTGGAAAATGTAAGAATACATATACGACACAACATTGGCAAATAATCCTACTTCTCAAAACTGTACAACAATGAAAAACTTCAACGACGTGGAACATGGGGATCCACTTGTGTATGAAACCCATTAACCTTTGTTTGTTGACTACACATGGTTCTAATATTTGACTGGTTCGTTGGTTCCCATTTCGTAGCGTATTGATCTCTTGCAACTGATGCTGAATGCTCACAATGACACTGATGTCGATCAGGAAGACACGCCCGTCCCAGGGGACGGCCCAGAAAGGGGCGTGATCCAACGCAAGCCCCTGTCAACCAGAGATATTATGGCTCAGGTGATTAAAGTTTTATTCAACTTGGCACCGCAAGCTCTAGGCTCTAGGTGTAGGAATTTAGTATACAGAGCAACCGACTTGCTTAAACTTCAATGGTGCCGATTAAAATCATGGCATTATGGACACTTAGGAATTTCAAACCTGTTTGTTTATTGAAAAAGGCGGTGAGACTAATTAGGAACCATTTTCGAGTGGTACGCACCGTAGGTCGTACGTGCGCTCAATGTTTTTTGACCATTGGGGAGCTCTTCTCAAAACAAAGGACGTTATGGCTTTGAACTGTGACCACCGAATTCGTCTACGGGTACAATTTTTCGTAACACCCCAACACCAATGCAGCAAGTAACAATTTGCAAATGTTGTTAATGACTATACCAGGCGGTTCAGTTCTTCCTGGCTGGGTACGAGACCACGAACACGCTTCTGACCTTCACTGCTTTCGTGCTGGCTACCAACCAAGATGTGCAAGAGAAACTGCACGCAGAGATTGACAACCTTGATCCCACGAAAGGCAACCTCGGCTATGACGTCATCGGCAAGATGGAGTACCTGGACATGGTGATCAGTGAAACACTGCGCATGTATCCCCCGTTAGCCTTGTAAGAATACGAATTTTGAGTTATTCCCTGCGAAAATATCTTTTTTTTGTCAAGTGACATAACATCGATTCTCTATCCTCTTATCTTTCAATTATTGTTTTTATAACATTAGGCCTAGGCCTATATAAGAAAAGTTTTACGAGGCGAACCTCAGAAACACTCAGACCTGCAGCTGATTTGTTTGTTTAACTTCAATGGGTTCGACCTTAATTTTTTTGTTCACTAGCCAGCCGGGCTACTGAAACAGACTCTTAACTAGCCCGCGCGCATTTTCACTAAATAGCCCGCTTGTTTTTGTTAGGGAGTGTCTCATATACAACAATGGGCATACATGTAAAACGTGTATCCTGAGGCAACCTTGTCAGTGTTAACAGATCTAATAATTTAACGCTAAACAATTAATAAAATGAGACACCAATTGACGCAGGTTTGCTTTCTGAATTAAATAATAATTTTTTTTCCTGTCCTTTCATCTTTGCCGTAGCCCAATAATGTTTGACTAACCAGCCGGGCTACTTAAAGGGAATATACATCATTTGCTTTTGCTGTAATTTTCAGAAATGGATGGAATTGGGGGGTTGGAAATAAATAGCAAATATAGTTACACTGACTTTTTTGAGGTTTTGGGTTCGAAAATGCTATAAAAACCAAGAAAAACAATCATTTTCCTGTAGTCTGGTTCCCTGTCTCCATATAAAAAGAAACAGAGCAATTTACATACATTGGGCAATTGTAAGGTCAGGGAACCAGTCTAGCTGGCTTATACCCGTTCATAGGTGTGTAATCGATTGCAAACAAGTGCGATTGTCAATTGTGGCCAGTATTAGAAAAAAACGCTGGTCGGCCGACCAGCGTTGGAAATTGACACAAAAATACCAATTTTCTTGAAAATGACAGTACACCAGGTGCCATGATTTTACAGGATGCTTTACACTGTCATTCACTAACAGTCCAGCAAGGTATTTCAAAATGATTTGGTAGTTTTATTTTTGATGTTTGAAAATGTTATATTTTCCTTTAAAGGGAATATACATCATTTGCTTTTGCTGTAATTATCAGAAATGGATGGAATTGGGGGGGGGGGGTTGGAAATATATACCAGATATAGTTACACTGACTTTTTTGAGGTTTTGGGTTCGAAAATGCTATAAAAACCAAGAAAAACAATCATTTTCCTGTAGTCTGGTTCCCTGACTCCATATAAGAAGAAAAAGAGCAGTTTACATACATTGGGGAATTGTAAGGTCAGGGAACCAGTCTAGCTGGCTTGTACCCGTTCATAGGTGTGTAATCGATTGCAAACAAGTGCGATGGTCAATTGGGGCCAGTATTTGAAAAAAAGCCCAGTTTTTTTCCAACGCTGGTCGGCCGACCAGCGTTTGAAATTGATACAAAAATTCCACTTTTCTTGAAAATGACAGTATACCAGGTGCCATGATTTTACAGGAAGCTTTACACTGTCATTCACTAACAGTCCAGCAAGGTATTTCAAAATGATTTGGTAGTTTTATTTTTTGATGTTTGCAAATGTTGTATTTTCCCTCTAAGGAATAATTTAACTAGCACGCCGCTGTTTTGACTAGCATTTGGCTTATTCATTCTTCGAGTTGATTGCAGTCTCGATAGCGGGCAGCAACTTTTGTATTACCTTTTCTATAATTGCCCCAACCTTCTTCGTTTGGCTTTTCAAATACTATATTTTGTCTTCTGAAAACGATTTTACTAGACTGGAAATTATTAAGATATAATGATATCCACAGTTTATCTGTGAAGGCCCATAATAACATTTACTGAAATGTTTTTTTTCTCAGGCTTAACCGGGTCTGCAATGAGACAGTATGTTGCGATGGCCTCGTCATTGAAAAAGACATCCACGTGTTAATTTGCGTCTGGAACCTTCATCATAGCGAGGAATACTGGAACAACCCGTACAAATTTGATCCTGAAAGGTACAATTAGATGATATAAATACAAATCTTCTAAGCTCTGTTGACTGTTTTGGATTGCGTTCCTGTGATGTGGTATAGGTTTTCCCGGCCAATTTCCTACAATGTTCATTCACTTCTGAAAATCGGTCATTCATTTTCGACTGAATTTGAGAATCGTTTTGAACGCACGTTTCTTTTTCGCTATACCAAAACATTCGATTCCATTTCAGTTCAATCAATTAAGTGATTGAGCAGCACCTTTCGTTTATGTCCATTAAGATTCGTTTACAGGACTTCTTTTTCGCTTTTTAGAGGGCTATTTCAAACATTCACCATTCTATTTCAATTTGAGTTTAATGCCATTGGCACCAGATACAATGACGGGTTTCTTTTTCATTAACCGTCAATCAAATTAGCTGTGCCTGAAATCAATTTAGAAAAGGTATGCTTGCGTATAATGCACGGGTAACTTAAATGGCCGTTTGTTTTTCAAAACCGAATGCACAGACAATGAAAACGGTTAAACTTTCGTTGAATTGAAATGGGATTCAAGACAAATTCAGACGAAAACGAAGGACTGATTTTCAGAAGTGAATGAATATTTCAGGAACGCGTTCAAATTTCAGATTCGCGATAGAGGGATATTCGCATATACTCAACGGTCAGAAGATTGGTCACAATATTGAAATAGTGGTGCAAAGTTCACATGTGTCAAGGAGCATTTACCGGATATGTTAGTTTCTGTTTGCTGGCTAATTGCAGTGCACACTGGATATACCTTTACATTTAAAAGGTTTCCCAATATTTAATCATGTAATACCTGAAAGTATAAATGATGGGATTATTTCAAATTTGATTTAATTTTTTTTTGGTTGTCATTTCAGGTTCAGCCCTGAGAACAAGGCCTCCATCAAACCGTACACCTACATGCCGTTTGGCTTCGGTCCAAGAATCTGCTTCGGCATGCGCTTTGCCTTGCTGGAAGGCAAGATGGCGCTGGTCCGTATGATGCAGCAGTATCGTTTCGATGTCTGCTCTGAAACTGAGGTAATGCCAGATGAGATGAATACAATTCAATCAAGTGATATGCTTTACGCATGCGCGTTGAGCTCAGAGACTTTACTTGGATGTAGAAAAAACAACACAAACGTTGTCTTGCCCAATCTGGCCCAGAAAGCGAGAGAAAACAACAGAGATTCATTACAATACTCAACCAAAAAATGAAGCCCCCCTTAATACTTGCTTGTCTAACTCAAAAACTACTGGGCACATCTTCCTCAAACTACGACTGATCAGTACAGACATTCCTTAGCAATCCCGCCAAAGTCGTTGTTTGGCCCAAAACAGTGATAATGTGTAAAAAATTATGCAATTTATGAGAAATGGTACCGAAAAAAGTTGCACTTTTGTGTACGTGCAAGGTGAGTGTGAACCACAACCTGCACGAAAACCAAAGTGCAACTGTTTTCGGTATCATTTGTCATAAATTGCATAATTTATTTGTACACATTATCACTGTTTTGGGCCAAATAAAGAGTATGGTGGATTGCTAAGGAATTTCTGTACTGATTAGTCGTTATTTGAGCGAGATGTGCTCAGTAGTTTTTGAGTTAATCAAACAAGTATTGGAAGGCGGGGACTTTCTTTTGACGTTGAGTGTAGTTTCGTTACCTTTCGGTTACTAAATCACGGAATGTCCCTCAAAAAGTCTGCCTTGCTTTGGCAGGCATGATAAGATTGAAGAATACTATCAACCAGACGATAGAGCCAAGGTCTTATAAAGTCTAATGTGATTATCACTGTGAATTTGTTTTCTTCAGATTCCGATTCCGCTCAGCAAGACTGGACTTATTGCTCCCAAGAAGCTGATGTTGAACATCCTGCCGAGGAACTAAAACCACCTCACCGTGTGTGTTTTTGTTTTCTGATTTTCGAAGCATCACTTGTTCTCTAGGGGCAGTTTTCACGATATTTCTTTTAATTATTTTGAGCCTTTTGTAGACTTTTTCTCGATGCCCCTTATCGCCAAACATGGGTACACCCCTTCCCGTACAATATGTTTAAAGAGAGTTAAGTACAATTAAACCTTTGTCGAATGTCATCTGAAATATAGGGTTTTAAATGGGTCTAATTAGGTCAATATATCACGAAATCTCCTGTAATAGTCGGTGTTTGAAATCAAAATGAAGGTTATGTTGCATGGGTCTAAGATAATCATTTGTGTCAAAGTTATGTACCAACGCTTGTAAATGCCTTGATAGAACTGAATTCTCAAATCGTCTGAATCATCGGTTTGGAAACTGATATGACCTGTAGTTTTAAGCATGTGAAAACTGTTTTGAGGAATTTTGAGGAATTACACGTTATTTCAGTAAGATGTAATCATTTTGTTAAACCATATTTAGACAGTGTGGTGTAATCTTGCTTAATTTTTTTCACATATTACATTTGAATTCTTTACAATTTCATTACATACCGTATTGTACTATTTCTTAACTATTTAGATTAATTTGCTTTATTGTACTTCGTTTGTAGTCGTGTGTATAGTCTCGTTAAATGATCGATGCTCTCAAGCAACATTCCAGTAATTGATAGTAGTATAATATTGTTTAACACCATTTTCACCAGGTAGATAGAATTGTTGTTTTTGCCTTGGGTGAACGTTTGCATCCCATTTGATCCATTTCCTGAATTGTTCTACATATCAAACTTGAATGTTGCTTATTAATAATAATACTAATTCACATCCAATTTATCGTGATAATTTGCATTTTATTAGGCTGTAGATTGCTTGATATTATTCCTTTGATAAATTGAATTGACATTTCGTCAAATTACGTCAAGATATTTGTCTAACACAAGTGTCAAAGTTGCGTCAAAAGTTTATTCTAAGGAAAGTCTCTTTTATAAAACATCCAAAAGAAGCATAGTCCATCGGACACATTTTTCATTGAAAGCACTCTGAGACATTTCAACTTTGATTTCTTCCAAAGATATTCATCTTTGCATTATTTTTAAACTCTCATTGTGATGTTTTACCGGTAGTTATGTAATTATTTATATTGTAATGCATACAGTTTTTACCTCTGTCTATTTTTAAAAATGTTTTTTTTTTTATGTAAACCTGCCCAAAATTTAGCCTTTTAATAATAATCTAATCAAGATTAGCTATATTAGACATTGACCTCGATTTCATGATGTAATGTTTACTGTACAGGGAGTGCGTTCGATTACTTCCCCCAGCTTACTCGCGCCTGGCTCCTCCCGTGATGACAGACATGCGCAGTGGAGCTTAATAAACGAATGGTTTCGGGTAAAGTTCGTGCAAGAGCTGGAAAGTTGAACTTTGACATGACACTGATGAGGCGCCCGCCGGACGTCACGTTGGCAGCCATGAATATTGCATGGCCTTATGGGATACTTACCCAAGTAACCGGCTCGGCGAGTCGGTTACTTGGGCCAGGCTCGAGAAAACGCGAGAAGTCACGTGAGAGGTAAATCGAACGCTGTCGCGCTTGCACGAGTAAGCGCGGGGAAGTAATCGAACGCACTCTTTGTGTGACACCGAGATTAGTACGTGTATTATTTGTATTTGGACACAAAACGCACTATAGACCCTTAGCATCAAGTAGCCATGTTTGAGGCATTTTGTGTAGTTTTTAATGAATGCATAATGGTCTACCCATGCACACCCCAAGAATGGCTGCAAAGCTAATGATCTATGAATTTATTAGATTGACATTAGATTTACTTGTAATTAAATTTCACATTTTGGAATTTACTAAAATTCCTTTGACATAAACTAAACATCAACTATTGTATACGGTACAAAACGGTAAAAATTAAACAAGCAGCTTGTTCAAAGCAGTCTTGATGAAGAGTGAATTACGTACCAAACTAGAAGTGCGAGATATCTGGTATAGGCTTTGCATAATGTGAATTAAAAGGACTGCGTAGCCTTACAACAAGAACGAATTAAAACTGGTTCCCGATCGCTCTACTCTGTACAAGCCTACATCGAAAAGAGGAATGGCGACCAGTCAGGAAGTGATAGCAACACCAAGCTAATTCATCCTTTACTTAATTAGTAATCGTGATGTGGAAAAGCACCACACAACGATAGTAATGTCTCACATTGTCAATGTCAAGGATGCTTGCACGAAGCACATGGAATCAACCACAAACTTTGCAAGAGATTTATCTTTTCTGCAGAAAAAATAAGAATACTCGGAAAGATATATCATTAAACAATAAGGGTACACGTTAAATGCAATGGACATGGGTAAACAATTTCCTTAATTGGTCAAACCTAGACTAAGATTAAAATAAACTAAAATCGAAAAAACAAACAAACACCGGCTATGTCTTAGACAGACTCAGATGAAATAGGCAAAGGAGTCTGGGTGTGGTTGCAAATATGATTTGGACGGTTAGTTCCTTGGAACGGCCTTCAGATTTATATTCTTGGGTGACATGAGACCTGCCTTGCCAACAGTTGGTGGGATCTGAAGAAAAATGAAAAGATATCATAATAAAGGTATTTAGTTAAAGGTATACTAGAATGCCGACGCAGACAGCCTAATTTAATATTTCCCCTCTGAACAGATTACCCTCCTCAGTTAGGGTTCGCTTAGTCTACAAGAACATCTCCCTTCTGAAAAAAAAACAACCACCGGATAAAAAGAATATCTCTCCAGGTATCAGACTTTTTGGTATGGCATAACAAGTCGTATTGTGGTCTGGTAACCTAACTACCTCGGTTTCTGAGCAGACATCGAAGCGATACTGCTGCAGCACACGGACCAGCGCCATCTTGGCTTCCAGCAAGGCAAAGCGCATACCAATGCAGTTACGAGGACCGAAGCCAAATGGTAGGAAAGTGCACTGTTTGATGGAGGCCTTGTTCTCAGGGCTGAATCTGAAACGATGAGATGTAAAATTGTGGAAAAGAAGTGACATCTGTTTGACCTTTAAACTTGAATTTTATATTATCATCCAATGGGTAAAGGAATTTAAGTACGTGGGATTAGAGTATCTTTTGGCCGAAGAAAACCCTAGGTGTAGAAGTTAATAAAAATCATCATGAATTGCAATCTTATATGTTGAAATTCATGTATGTAGCACAAATTATAACACTAGAAATGAAAAGTAAAACAACTTGACGTTGTTCATCAGTTACAAGTTTTCACAGTTTGTAATCAGTTTTGGCAGGTTGGAATGACAAGGGTTATGACTGGCTGTCTCATTCTTTGACAGGCTGTGACAGGATGTGACAGGATGTATCTGTATCTGTAGAAAACCGTGCAAACTCCTTGACAGGATATCCCGCACAGGGATGTGGCTAGTTGTGACAAGTTGTGATTGTAACACGTTCAGACTTGTTATAGATGCTTCGGACAAATTGTGTCTGCCTTTCACGGATTGTAAAGATAGGTTCGGACAGGTTGTGACACGTCGTGATAACTTGTGACAAGTTGTGGTTGCCTATTGACAGATGAATACGACAGGTGGGTGACAGGTTGTAACATAGTTGGATAGTTTGTAACAGTTGTGTGACTATTAGTGGCACAAATTGAGGAGGCATTACCTCTCGGGATCAAACTTCTCGGGATTGTTCCAGTATTCCTCGTCATGATGAATAGTCCAGACACTGGCAATCACTCCCACACCCTTTTCAATGGTAAGGCCCTCGAAGGTGATGGTATCATTGCACGCACGATCAAACCTACACAAAGGGAAGCACTTCATAGACAAATATAAACAAATAGGCGGGCAGCCGAGTTCTCATAAAAGTATGTTTCAAATCTGTAAATGATTATATTGAACGAAGGAAAATATTAAATGCATTGTTCAACCTGGAGTTACCGCCTGTTTCATATTATTTTTTATTTATTTTATTTTATATCTTCGGACAAAAATTAAAAATCTATTTAAAAGAAAAAGTGAAATATTCCTGGTCTAGACAAAAGACCAGGACAATCATTTTGTGTTCAGGGGCGTAGCACAGTCATTTTTATTGGGGGGATTTTTTTAAAAGGGCACTTGTACATCCGTTGTGAAATGTAGACAGATGTACAAATTATTGGGGGGTTAGCCCGTTGAAAAAAAAGGCATTTGAATGGAACAAAGCAGTCTTTACAACATATTGGGGGGGGGGGGGGGGGGTAAATACCCCACTTACCCCCCCCCCTTTAAAAAAAAATTAGAAAAGTAGTCCTTCAATCCAAGTGGAGTGTAAAGTGTTTCTTACATGACTGCTGGGGGATACATGCGCAGTGATTCATTGATCACCATGTCCATATACTCCATCTTGGCGATGACGTCATAGCCGAGGTTGTCACGTGTGGGAGCGAGGTTGTCAATCTCAGCGTGCAGTTTCTCTTGCGTGTCTTGGTTGGTAGCCAGCAGGTAGGCAGTGAAGCTCAGCAGCGTGTTGGTGGTCTCGTAACCAGCCAGGAAAAAAGTGAGAGACTGATGAGGACAAGAAACAAAAATAGTGCAATGCATTCTTTGACAATTAAAGCGTTGCAACGTGTTCTGTGCCCGAATGCCATTGAGGGAGCCAGCGTATTTACGTGCCAAGCAAACTCGGCCGGGAACCAGTGATGGGGAAACTGTGTCACACTAGACTATGTCTGGTAAACTGTGATGGTTTAGCAAAGCTTTCCTCAGTAACGTTGGTAGTGTGCATGGAATAGCTCTAAGAAATCGTTTGCGGGCAGTGAAAAAAACCCATTTAGTTTCGTTAAAAGTTCTATAAAATCTCCATTAACTAAGTGTAGGCAAACCCCAAACCCCTCGATAAATACAGACAGCATTCTCCTTCGATGACCGATAGGCATATAGGCTATCTCGCTAAATTCAATATCTGTTGCGAGCAATACATTCAAAGTTTCCGATGCACAATTAAAAAACCCTACTACAAATTCACCTGCCCTATGACATCCACTGTCGACAGGGGCTTGCGTTGGACCACGCCCTTTCCTTTGGCTTTGTCTGAAGAGGGCGTGTCTTCCTGATCAACCTCGGGGTCATTGTGAGCATTCAGCATCAACTGAAGAAGATCAACGCGCTGTCAAATGGAAGCAGAAAGCGTGACATCTAAGGTTCGTTCTCTTGATAATCTTACAACTCTACACAAAGAATTTCAAGCGTGCAATGTAACGTTCCTGATAAACAAAAATTACAATCTGCTTTTCTCAAGCCTTGCTTAGTTTGATATACCCCTCTCTTTTTAAAGCAAATTTTAATAAACAAGGCGAGATATCCTTTCAAAATGAGACGCCATTTTTCTTTGAAAGGTTTATTGTTTCTCTCTATTTTGGTTGACGTCATGCACTCAAGTCCTCAACACGCATCGCAATGCAGGAGTCATTTTGCAAAAGGAAAACGAGCTGAAAAAGGAGTGAGTGGTTTTTTTCCCCAAAGATACAATTAAAACCAACACATTAAAAAAATAAAGACTATTGGTTAAAAGTGGATGCAAGGGACCTCTTATTAGTCATTTTTGTAAAATTAATACATCTTACGAGGACAAAATCACTGTCTTCTTGAAAACAACGCCCTCTCTGTGGGCAGCTCTTTGTTCCTCTGTGATATACATGAGAAGACACTTTTAAACATTTGTTGTCATACATTTTTAGACATCAAAACCTGTCCTCGATGAGGACGCTATGTGCAATGGGTCTATTGGATGACTGATCCCCGAGGGCGTAAAATAAATTGGCCAAAAATCTGTCCGCCGAGCTCATGAAATGATATCAAATGATTCTATAATGTCATGGAGTTCTGAGAGCCATTGAACGGCACTGCACCTCTAGCCTGGCATTGGGGCTTCCAATTCGGAGCATATTGGGTGCGATTGGGTCCGAAAGTGGCGCTATTTAGCCATGCAGTGGATGGATTCTTTTTCAAAATGGCTACGTTTGGGAAATAATTGTTGGATGGGTGGTCTTTTTTGATTATCATTTTTCTGTGCAGCCTAAACACATGTGAGTTCCGAGTATTTTTAACTAAGAATTTTGAAAAATGGGGATTTATCACTGGTGTATTATGGGAATTCATTGACTTGGTTACACCCCTGAGAGTCGGTCACCTACCTGGGAGGCCTGTGCGCCCTCTGCCGTTCGCATTTTGCACGCGGCCTCCGTCACGTCCGTGAAAAACTTGAGGGCGTCAGGTGCAACCAAAGATATGTTCAAGAAGGCAAACACACGTCCCATGAACGGAACAACAGCTGCAAAAATAATTAAAACAAGTCAGGTGTATTTACAAACACAAATGCCCCGCAACCGTGACTGTTTCCCTGACATAACACCACTCTTTTAACATCAACTTACATGTACCTTGGTCACATGGAACGTTCATTGACAGCATTAGTGTCTTCTGTATGTTTTATATGAATTAATCCCTAATCCCTATGATCTCAGAATAAATACAAGATTTCTATTGTTTTAGCCACTGTGACTTTGACCCTTGACCTTTTGACCCCCAATGCGATAGGCCTATTTGGATTACCAAGAACGATCCACAAACCAAATTTGAAGTTCACATGTATAGTATTTCTCAAGTTATCGCGCTGACAAAATTTCTTTTGTTTTAGCCACTGTGACCTTGACCCTTGACATTTTGGCCCCAAATGCAAAAGGCTTCTTAGGATTGCCAAGGACAATTCACAAACCAAATTTGAAGTTCATATGTAAAGTATATCTCAAGTTATCACGTTGACAAAATTTCTATTGTTTCAGCCACTGTGACCTTGACCCTTGACCTTTCGGCCCCAAATGCAAAAGGATTCTTAGGATTACCAAGGACAATCCACAAACCAAATTTGAAGTTCATATGTAAAGTATATCTCAAGTTATCACGCTGACAAAATGTCTATTGTTCAGCCACTGTGACCTTGACCCTTGACCTTTCGGCCCCAAATGCAATATGCTTCTTAAAAATATATAAAGAATGAACTTATATATGAAACATATGTAATATGAAAGATAAACGGTTACATGACATTTTTTTCATGTGTTGTATTCAGGTGATTTCACACGTAACACACTACCAGTAAACAGCAAAATGTTCAATTTAAACTCATTTTTCAGGAAATGGCTTTTCTTAAAAAGTTCTCTCCGTCAATCAAATACTTTTTAAAAAGAAAAACTAAAAAGAAATCGTCCTTTACTGCTTTACTCACTCAAAATCAGGAACAAAGGATTAAACCTGTTGAAATTCAAAAGCCTCATTGCGTTCTTAACGAACGGATCATCCTTGTTCCCCTGGGAGTCAACCTCGAGACCAAAACCGCACTTGGCAATGACGTCCATTGTGAAGCCACCGAACACACTGCAAAAAAGTTATAGGATACCAACACTTTCTCATGCCCTATGTCGTACGCTAAAATAGCTTCGCTGGTACCCACGCCTTATTTAAGGGCAATATGGTTTCCGGTCTCAATTCCATAGCTCTCATTGGACAACATTTTTACAGATTTGTTCAAAGCGTTACAATTTCTCCGGGCGTATAGAAGAAGGTACATGTACATGCATGTTGACGGTAATAATCTGCGTGCATATACAACATCTTAAATGCATGTTAACGGTAACAATGAATTTCCCACACTGCTCTGAGTTTCCTTCATTTGTTCACGTTAGGTTTCCCACAATGCTTTGCTTTTCCTTCAGAATATTTCGTGACAGACATAAGCCAACACCAACTATCTGTCATAGGGAGGATGCCATACCATATCCAATTTTTTTTTTAAATATAAAATTGCCTCATCTCCCCTAGTGAATGATAGGTGTTGGTGCTGTGATTTCAGCAAAAATGTCAAATGTCAGGGAGGTGGGGGCAGTTGACCTCCAGAAACCGCCTGTCCCCTACCACAAAAATCAGTTTGCTATAATTATGATTGGAAACCAGCAACATGACATCAATCTACTTCAAATCCGGTTTTTATACAAAGGAATATTCAACAAGAGTGGTGAAATGTAATGTAAATTAAAGGTAACTGTCGAATTAATACTCAGTTTCTCAAACATCACACAAAGATTCGGTTTTTATGGGGGAAACCCCAAATCTTACACTCTGAAGTCGATGAACTTGTCTCCCTCTCGCGCCTTACCGATACTCGCCACCAGAGTATCACAACACTCATTGATCATCGAAGACATCTGGACGTGAAAATGAGAAGAAAAAAGTCCTGAATTATTATTGACAAGTCAAGAAAACCTTGGCTGGCTGTCTCCAGTACTCCTTCCGGAAATAGTAAAAAAAAACAATAGGAAAAAAACCCCAAATTTTTCGAGAAATCAAGCATCAAAGAGTCACGATATGAGACGGACGGAGCCCCCTTTTTTTGTGTTGGTCATTGTGTTACCAGAATCTCTGGAATTCTTTTGAGATATCTAGGGGGATGTGTTGAAATAGGTAACAATAGTCTAGGGTTTTCATTGGGTATAGGGAGATTTTTTTCGGGGGGGGGTACCCCTACGTCTTATATCGTGCTGGGTATAAAGAGTCCAGCTGTGCCATCTACGTTTATAGCAAAATGATACAAAGCGTCTTTACTCTCATTGTTTAGGAAGCTGGTCCCATATGCCTTTTTAAGGTGTCGGTAACCATACGATCTTCTTTCCTTTCACCTCCATGGCCTGGGTTCCAATTCAGACTAACACATGGATTGATTTCACTCTCTAAACCGATGGTTTTGTCCGGAAAGTTATTTAGGTTTCTCGTTTAGCCTCTAAAACCAGAAAGACTTATTTTCCTTTTTTCCCACATGTTTTCTAAAAATGCCACCAGCAATTATTAGGAAACATCGGCTTCAGCATCAAAGAGGAATTGAAAACAAAATTCAATAAAATATAAAGACAAAGGTATGCCTACTTTCGGTTATTTTGGAAGGTCTGCCTCATTACCTTTTTCATTTTGGAGGCACTGAATGACGGAGTGATGACGTTGCGCGCATCTTTCCATTCCTCATTCACAAGCCGAGTCATGCCTCTGTTTAAAGGTTTCTGAGATATCGAGGGAATCTAGAGAAAGCAACATGTATATTATAAGAATAGTTTAGGGACAATAGTATGAAAATAATTTTAGAATAGTTTTAAGAATTATATATTATTATATTATATGTCACTTCGCATGAGTGCATATAGAAACAAAAACAGTCATATTAGGGCGCTGTGCGCAAGGTGCATCTTATCATACTTCACCCGACACACATAAATAGAAATAAAGGCATGCTCGACAAAATGCAATCAACAATTTCGACAAATCGTTGTGTCGAATTTGTTTAATGCATTGTGAAATATTCGTAGCCATACATTTTTTTGTATAGGGAGAACGGCCCCACTTGTAGTCCGGTCTCCCTATAACATTTCTGGTTACGACTTTTGTATAGTGCATAATATAGAAAACTATTATTCAAACGGACACGTGAATTTTTAAAATTTCGTTTTGACGAAAGGCATTTCTGGAATTTTTTTCACAATTATGAAAACGTTTCCTGATTATTCTCTATTTTTTCTATTTCCCAGTCTTCATTCTCTTTCCTCAGAAAATGACTATCTCACCCGACGGTTGTAAAAACTCGAGAAATGCTTGACCAGGATGTTCTTCAGAAGATCAGGGTCGGCGATAATCAGGACTGGCTTACGGAACACGTACGTCCTAATATTCATATTTTTCAAGAGATACAAAATAAATAAATAAACTGCATGCATACTATGGGCGTCGCAGGGGGGGGGGGGAGGGGCGCTGACCCCCCTCCGAAAAGCAAATAAAACACACACACAAAAAGGAGAAAAAAAAGACGAGGTGCGAAGTCATATTGTTGTTAATTAAATGCATATTAACAACATGAGCGTCCGCAGGGGTGTAGGGAGGGGGGGGGGGGGGTGCAGCGGCGTGGCCACGGTTCTTAACCTATAGGGAGGCGTGTGCGTGTGTGTATTGGGGGGTGCTTGAAGTTACAATGGACCGGAAGGGCGCCCAACAATTTCATCTCTGCTGAAAGGTAGATATGTTTTTTTCATCGGACAACCGACCTCCGTAAAATCAAATAGTGATAAGGGGGGGGGGGGGGAGGGCCGTAGCTACGCCGCTGGGTGGGTGGAGAAACTGTCTCTACCCCGCCCACCCTCGAACAAATGATAAATTGATAATATTTTAGAGAAAGTACCAGGAATTTGAGAGCTTTGCCCCCCTATAGAAAAAGATCCTGGCGGCGCCTATGTACATATATACATCAAACCATGATACCCACACAAGCACACATACATGAAAATGTTTTGCCAGTTTTTGAAATAGATCGGCCTAAGCAATTAGAGAAACGATTACTACGAAACCTTCAAATGCCAGTTATAAATGCTTATTTAGACTACCTTACCCGACAACTCTTCCGTACTTCTTAACATAATCGGTGAAAGTTGTCTGGATTCCCTGCACGAGTTAAAAAGTGATGAAAAAAAAAGAAGAGAAAACGTCATATTGCAATATGATTCCATAACAATTATTGCAGTCGGCGGGTCGCACTGACAGGCTCTGCCTTTTTATCGGATTGCAGTTTGTGTCGGGAGATTTAAATTTAATATTTGGCTTTGACTTCTGAATTGGTGTCTGTGACATGACAAAACCCAATATTGAATATCACAAATTAAATTCAAAAAAATCCTAGATTCAGTAGCGTATCCTGCTTTCCATGCCGGGGGGGGGGGGGGGGACCGCACACCAGCGCCGAAATGTAGACATGGTTTTTTTTTTTTATCTCAGGACACTTGGCCGCCGCAAAATCAAAAAGCGCGGGGGAGGGGGGTACCCATCTTCCAAATGGGGGCGCTCTTCAAAACTGACCATTCATGCTATTCATGTGTGTAGCGCTAGTGTCTGGCAGCTCCACGTTTTTGCCCCCCGTTCTTTTCACATTTCTATATGCTTCGGTTACATTTATTTATCATTTTGGCACCATGTGAATGTTGGAGACTCGGTGATCATCATGGTACTGCCTGATTCTCTTGTGATCATTCTGATTTTGAGCATATTTTGCATTTGCAATTTTTCATCATGCCATTCCCTGAGGTACAGAACTGTAACGTTAACGCCATGCCACCAACCGTCTTTTGTCATTGACTATCCGCTTGACTCGTCCTGGACAAGACGTGACATTCATCTCACACAGGCTCATCAAGATGGACAATCGAGTTCAGCTGCTCTACAAAACAAACTGAGTGAATCTTCAGCTGGTGTTGCGGGGACTATCCTATTGTCACCAAGGTACTGTTATATAACAATGGCCTCTTCTGGCCCGACATCGACGACCAACATGTTACGTTCTGATCGGACTTTTCTCCTCGGTCTTAACCGTGACTTGTCTTCCCAAAGTTGCAAACTATCCAGGGAGGTGTGCCATGAAATCTCAAATCTTAAACTTCTCAGGTTACCCTGCATAACACACAACACTAAACCTACATCACCTCGTCGTCGTACTCGACGTGCTTACAAGGGTGGTATTCGTAGGAAAAGCAAACATGGCCTGCCAATACGTGTGATTGTTGGCCGTCCTAACCCCACTGAAAGTTATCACCCTGATTTTGTAGATGAACCCCCAAGATCCCACCCTATTCATCAGAACTTTAAGTTATCATCCCCAACCTTGACGATCATGTTAGTTTTTGCATGCTTAACGCACGGTCTCTTCGCAACAAATCCACAGATTTTCAGGACTTTGTCATAGAAAACAACTTTGACATCGTGGGTATTTGCGAAACCTGGTTAACTGAATCCGATGAAGCAACCGACTTAACTCCTTGTGGTTATGAATTCAAACACAAACCCAGAGCATGCAAGCGAGGAGGAGGAGTTGGCGTACTTTTTCGGAAGGAACTGGACATTTCAGTCAACACGTCTTTTGATTACCTGAGTATTGAGATTTTGTCAGCCACCGCGACCTCCAATAGTACCAGCCTTGACGTTTACATCATTTACCGACCACCGTCCGGTCAAATGGCATTTTCTTCGTTTCTGAATGAGTTCACGCTTTTGCTTGATGACCATATCTTCAGACCTGCACTGCTTGTGATTTGTGGTGACCTTAACATTCACCTTGACAATCTGGAGGCGTCCAATACAAAGACGTTCAACGACTTACTGAAAGCACACAGTCTTTCCCAGTATATTCAATCGCCAACCCATGAACGCGGTCACATCTTAGACGTCTTCATCTCCCGCACCTCTGAAAAACACATTTTTTCAGACCTCCAACTTTTGCCAGGCATCTCTGACCATTCAGCCATTTCCTGTCGCCTGCATGTTCGCAAGCCATGCCCAACTCGCACACAAATTGAGGAACATCAGTGCAATTGACAGGAAGGACTTTGCTGACGATCTCCGTCAGCATGACATTTCGTCGGATGTTTCTACTGTCTACGAAGCCGTTGACCAATACAATGTCACACTTGGTCAGCTCTTGGATACATATGCGCCAGCCAGAACTACATCTATCAAGGTGCCACAAAAAAAACCCCAAAACGGGATACGCTGCTGCACCCACAGAAGATGCCTTTTACTGAGCAAGTGCCCCTTTTTGGTGATGCCCCCACCCCAGTTTCAAAACCGTTCCCCCGCCGCTAGTATTAAACTATTGATCTTTAAACATAAGTGACGGAAAACTGATTGCAAATTCATATTTTTGTCTCTGAGATCATTTATGGTAGTTTAAAAACGTCATTTGCCAAACCTGTTTGTCCACGGACGGCTTTATTCCATCTGTTTGAAGGAGCTTCGGAGCTTGATTTGAAGATGAAAAACACTACACTAGACTTACACGTGGACAACAGTGCTTTCGGTGACTTGGGTTCCAACAAGCATAAAAACACAATTCTTGCGATTTTTCAAAGATTTTTTTGACACGTAAACAAAGTTGAAGGACTATACTTTACTACATTATATATATATATATATATATATATATAAAAACAGTTCAAATAAGTTAAGTATAAGTAGGTTAAAATTCCTGTCAAAAGTGTGTTTCCTTCTTTTTGCACCACATATACATTGCACTTCTAGTTTTTTTCCCTTCTTTTAGAGTATAAAGGTACATGTAGCAAAAACCTTTCACAGACACTGTGTAAATAATGTAAGGGCAGCGGGTCAATTCTCGAGTGAAAACCACGGCACGGCATTTTTATTCACAGATCTGAATTATAAAGATAGCATGCAGAGACTTTAGGGGCCATTCAGAATTTTCAATGTTTTAAAATTTCGATCTTTTTTCCAAATTGTGGGTGGGTGGGTCAAGCTAAATAATTGAAAATCGAAATTCACTTTCCATAGAAAAAAAGATAAAAAACAAAGAAAGATAGATCTTTTGACTTGCCTGAACTATGCGCAAACGTTCCAATATCGCGATGCGTGTTTCTTTTTCAACTTCGTCCCCTGTATGAATTGTCAGTGGCGTAGCCAGGAATTTTTCGGGGGGGGGGGCGCTGGGGGGGGGGGGGGGGGGCTGGAACATGTATGGGGGGGCGTCATGTAGATCAATGATAATTTTTTTAGAAACTCAAAACCTCAGTGGGGGAGGCGACTGGGGGGCGACAAGGTTTCATGGGGGGGGGGGGGTGGCTGTCGCCGTCTGTCGGTCTTCTATGCTGTTATGTTTACTTTCAGGTACCTTCAATGGTACTATGTTTAATTAACCTGTTCATTTGTTTAATTAAACTAATAACGCACATATAGTTGCCAAATATGGCACTAACAAGTTTGAGGTCGGCAATTTCGTCTTTAAAAATCTGGGTACGTCGGGTTACCGTACACACAATTGTCCTGGAAACAACAGTACCAAAGTACAGAAAGTCGTACACAAGAGCTCCCCAGCCAGTATCGCTGACGCCATTATGATTCCAAAGTTTCTCACTGTGTCACACAGTGAAATATCTAAACAGCGTCGTTGTACATTTGTATTGTGAACACATAAAAGCATTCAAGTCGCGTTCTTGCACACTTTTTGCAAGTCAACATAGATATCCTTGAACCACTGCCCCTGCTTTGCATAACAAGTGCACATGAATGAACGATTCGACTTTTATTCAAAGAAATTTCTATGTACAGTCACCAGACTCTATTCAGTGAAGTCCCCGTCAAAACGAAAGTAATCAATCCACGTGCATAACGCACGGCTACACCATCGTACAGTGTGGCAGGGACACCAACAAGTAACACAACAACTAAACATTTTTTAAAAAAATGATAAATATTCTGATTGAATTTCGTTAAAAGATACTTGTTGGTGAGGTATCACATAATTTTATCACATAAAAGAGGAAGACCGACAACTTCACGCCGTCACTGAGCTAGACACACATGTACATGGTGTTCAAGTACATGTACATGTAAGTGCATGTACATGTACATGTTCAGTTTTTTATTAATCGAAATTAGGGGTGGGTGGGTGGGTCAAAATAATTTGGAAAAAAAGTCGAAATTTTAAAACATTGACAATTCTGAATGGCCCCTTAGACTGTTTAAATCTTACACGACGCCATTGCAGTATGTTCCCAAAGAAGGGAATGTAGTCGGCCACAGGGATTCCTCGTCTCTGGAAATAATGATGACACCACCAATCATACCTGCAATAAAGAAAAAAGACAAAGCTTTCCAAAGAGATGGTGCCAAGTCGAATTCTTCACAATAAAACAAGAAAAGAAACATACAAAAAAAACCAAGAATAAATGGAATAAAATTTGTTTAAGGTCATCGACTTAATAAACCAAGGTGCGTGGATCTTCTTTAACCTGTACATAGCTTGACCAACTTTGTTCTTTGGTCACCATCACTACAGGAAGGGTCACCTTTTTCTCAATGGTAACCCACATGGGCGTCGCCAGGATTTTTTTCTAGAGGTGGGCAAAACATATTTCCCCCAAAATGCCTGTATTTCTCAAGATATTCTCGATTTATAAGTTTTAGAGGGGGACAGAGACATTTTGGGGATTTTTGCCCCCCATTAAATTTACACCGATATGACTTGGCGCCTCTTTTTTTTCTCTTTTTCCCCCTTCCTTTTTTTTGGGTGGCTTTTCCGGGGGGGGGGGGGGGGCAAGCGCCTTGCCCCCCCCCCCCGCGACGCCCATGGTGACACACAAAATGGTGGCAAAACTTGTACTGCGTGTAAGTGTGTATAGACATTTGTACATTATGTCTATAAATCCTGCTTACAAATCCTGCTCATAAAAAGTATCAAACTCTTCCCTTTCCCGATTTTCGTGTTAAGTAGACCTACAGCATTTAATGCCGGAGGAACAATCTTCAAGCAGTTTCATTCTTCATAATTGTACACATAATCTATGGTGCTGGGATCCAACAAAATGTCAAATTGTCACAATAATTCATTTGCAGCAAGCTACATGGTACACATATCAAGATTTCCAAAGAGGAAGCTCCTTACCATGCTAACAAGAGCAGCACGCCGACAACCAACGTCCACGTCACAGACACGTCTAGCCCAAACAGCTCCATGCTCGCTCACCATGCACGAGGAAACTTGACTGTTTGAATAATTTGGAGACACAGCTAGGACTAGCTTTGCGCAAGCATAATGTGCTGGGCCAAAGGTGTAGTACGCAAATCTTGTTTTTCTTTTTAGAGAGTCATGTTTAAAAATAGAAGGTGTTGTCATCCGTAGACTTGATTCAAGTCAGTAAACGGTCTTGGTTTGTGCGTGACACTGTCGATTATAGACCTTGTGCGTTAAGGCGGAGTCATCAGGAGGGCAGGGGCTTTGTATATCACTGGGATAGGCTCGAGTAAATCTTGTGTGCATTCATTATAATACAATTAACATGACAAAGAACACCCTCTGACGTATCTGCTACGCATAAAGTCTATTGACCTTAGATTTCTACCTATTTATAAGTATGATGAATTGTGAACACTTTTGTGTGATGATGAAATAATATAGCGCCAGTTTCGACAGCTCCCCCTTTACATATAGTCGCCCCCATTGGAGATTTGCTCGTCTTTTTCACCAGCGATCCTTTATTTCACGAGTGCCCCTTTTTAACGTCTTTACTTTTGCCTGTGTGGGAGGGAATTCTGCCATATACCCACCCCTCCCCCTTCACAACGGTCCGGGGGCAAATATTTGTGGGGTACCACTGTTCCCTTTGTATGGGTACCCCATATGGTGTCGTTACACCGGATGACCGGTGAAAAAACCCTGTCTAAATTTCAACACGAATGTACAGAAATTGGGCGTCCCCGCTGTAACGCCCAGCCCCCCCCCCCCACTATGGTGAGAACGCTTGCTATGCTGCTAATGAAGTAAACGACGCAAATTAATTCTGTCTCCCACTGTTCATTCATTCTTACATGTAATATAATTTAATAAAAGTATCTCTTTTGCAGTCTTCCGTTAAATCACGCACTCCTACATTGCTACATTTAAAAAAAAAAATGAACACATATACCTGCAGGATAGTGCTATAATATGATGTCGCGATACAAGGTATTTATAGCACACTGAATTGATCCAAACACTCCAGCATGTACGCTGCTGTTTTAATGATGTCCAAGTGTTTGCCAAAACTGATCGAAGTTGTTTTAAGCGATAGATGCAATGGTGGAGATATGGACTTCGGTCCAATCATGTCGATACGCATATTAGAGGGTTTCTTCGTTGAAAAGCATTATTTGAATTCACTTTTCAATCAACAAATATCCTTCGTTTTTGCTGTCATAATCAGACCTAATCTTGAATAGTTTATATTTACAGCTTAGATTTACTTCTGAATATAATTAAATTTAGAATTCTTGATTAAAATATTTTGACATAAACTAAATCATAAGATATTGTATAGGGTCAAAAATTAGTGTAGGCCTACATTAAATCAGCGGTTTGAGCAAAGCAAGTATTAAGGTTTCATAAAAGCACTTAATGAAAAGTGAATTAAGTAACAGACTGGAAGTTATGTCGTCGGGTCAAAGCAGAAAGGACTTATAAGCCCTATTCAGCATTTTCCAGTATTTCAAGATAATCGAGTTTGAAGATTCACACTGCTTTGAAAATTGCAAAATGTTATTTAAATAGTTTAAATTATGCATATTGTTAAAGGGGGTTCTTTAACTTAACAGTTAAGTATTACTTGCCATATTTGTAACTTAATTATTTAATTACAGCTAATTAAAAAAAGTAAGACCTTTTGGTGCTTCCACACTGAAAGAAATGACAAAAGGACAAAAGGGTGCGTGCAAAAAGGTCCTACAAGCTCTTAAGCCCTTTTTGCATTTCCCAACATCAAACAGAAGGTCTTTGCCTTACTGATTGTATTAGTTTTTAAGGCCCTGTAATGACTGCCTGTTTAAAGGGAAAAAGGCTTATGAGCTTATAAGGCCTTTTTGCTCCCAGTTGTATGCCAAGATCAGTATAAGTCCTTTTAAAATTTCTTAATTACTCCTTAATTGGATGAATAATTAACATAAAACCTCTTTGGGATAAAGACTGTACTGAAAGTAAACAGTTACCATCAAAAAACAAAAATGGACCTAAAGCATGGTATAAGCCCTTTCTGCTTTGACCCGACGATGTGGTATATAGCTTTTTGTGTGAACAGATAGGAAGGGAGCACTGCGCAGCCTAACGAGAACGAATAAAAACTGGTTCCTTATCGCTTCACTCTGTACAAGCCTACGTTGGAAAGAGGAATGGGGACCAGTCTAGTGGTGAATAGCAATACCACTCACTAGTTTACACATCACTTATAATAATTGTGATCTAGAAAAAGGAGCCGCACAATGATCGTAATGTATCACATGCTCAGTGTTAATGATGTAGACTGTGCGCGGACCACATGAAATCACCCACATATTTCGCGAGTGACGAAATTTTTAAGCATGCAGCAAAAATGACTACTTTTTAAAACTACCAGAATAAAATTGCCTTGTGGAACTCAATAGATAAAGGTGGATATGCCAATTTACCTTATTGGCCAGAATATAGAAATACAATCAAATTAAATTAAAAAAAACCCTAGCTGTATAAGATTTAGACAAGATAAAAGGGCCGTGGGCATTTATTTCAGGATTTATTTCCGTGGGATGGCGTTCAAGATTATATTCTTGGGTGCAAGGTGACCTCTCTTACCAAGAGTTGGTGGGATCTGCCAAAACAAACAAGGAGAGATACAATGCCAATTTTAATAAATATGATAGTTAAAGTTACTTATCTCATACTGCTAACAAGCAAAATAAGTTGTTTATTTGAATGCTGACTCTGTTTAGGGTTCACTTATACTACAGGAAAATATCCCCTTCTGAAAATTTATTCAACAGGGGATATCTTCATGTAGTATTTGCGAACTCTTGAAAAGGAAGCATTTACTGGCTGCCAACATTTTGGGTAAAAAACACAGAAATATGTATTCCGTCAAGGTACCTGACTTTTACCATAATGGGAACACAAGAAGTAATGTGGTCTGGTGTGGTAACCTTACTACCTCGGTTTCCGAGCAGACATCGAAGCGATACTGCTGCAGTACACGGACCAGCGCCATCTTGGCTTCCAGCAAGGCAAAGCGCATACCGATGCAGTTACGAGGACCGAAGCCAAACGTTTGGAAACTGCATGGTTTGATGGAGGCCTTGTTCTCAGGGCTGAATCTGAGTTAATGAGATTTAAAATTGTGGAAAAGAAGTGACATTTTGTTCGACCTTTAAACTTTTGTTCAACATTAAAACTACTGTTATATTATCAGCCAATGGCAAAGGAAAGTACGTACTAAGGTTTTAGACTAAAATTGACAAAAGAAAACCTAGTTAGAAGGAAATAAGGCCAAAAAAATAAATACTCGGTCTCTGGTCAGCGCGCGCGTCGATTTTAATCATGCGCGTCAACCTTTTTTTTCTTCTTCAAATTAACACGGAAGCTACAACAGCGCCCTTTATTGCCGCACCTTCTCAAATTTTTGAACCAAGGAGCACCAAAGAATGGGGAAATTGCCCCAAGGCAAATGATAAAGGGCACCAAGGCAAATTATGGAGGACACCAATGTATAATGAGGACACAAAAAAGCAAAATAGTACCCATCTTGTCTGTGCAATTTAAGCTTGAAAAAAAAAGCCACCAAAAAAAAACAAAAACAAAAAAAACGCGTCGCCGCATGAATTCCGGAACTTCGGTCTGACCAGAGACCGACTATGTTTTTTGGCCTTAACATCATCAAGTATTGCAATCATGCAGTATTAATGTTAAATTCATGTTAGAGTCACACAATTACAACTCTCGAGATGAAAAGTAAGACAAGTTGACATTGCTCATCAGTACAATTTGTTACAGTACAGGTTTTGGCAGTTTGGTATCGGGTTTTCGTCCTTACATTTACCCGACAGGTTCCCTACCCCATCAATCATTTCATAACTGTTGTGAATGAACTTCGGGCATGTCTTATTGTCACGCCAGCAGCCATTGCGATCATGCTATTTGCCTAGCGCTCTCTTGCGGCCAACTAAACTTTTTTTAGCACAGCGCGCACCATCAAGAAAAATTGCGCGCTGCTTTTAAACTATGCAAAGGGCGTAACGGCGCTTTATTTGTGTTAGATAGCTGGCTTTCCGGGCGTATTGTATGTATTGATATAGTTTTTCTGTAGGGCTAGCTGCGAAATAACTTTGATTTCGATCCAACGTCTCGTTGAATCAACACCATCATTTTCTGCGAGCATCGCACACTCCTCTTTACTGCCAATTTTGGGTGCGGCTCCCTGTCAGCAGCGTCACAATTTTATCCGGCGTTGCCGGTATTGCAGTTGATTCTGCATTATTTTCTTCCGCTGCTTGCTGCTTCATCGATTTTAACATCGAGAACGGAGAGGAAGGCGTGAACGTAGATCGTCCCAAGTGGTGAGTAAATCCCCCTTGTGTGTTGTTTTTATTTTTTTATGCCACAATCTTTTTATGCCGCAATCTGGACTTAATTGAATGTTTCTTTGTAGACCTACTGCCAGATATAAGACGGTTATAAACAGACACGGCCGGAAATGTATATTTGCGATCACGACTTTTGTATTTAACAAAATAATAACTGTTGAATTACATCTGTTTGTCGTGACGTTCAGTTATTTTGTGAATCAGCAATTCGCTTATGATTCACTAAAAAAAAGTGGCAATAAAGGATTGTCTGTTGATTTTATTTTATGCTTAGAACATTTAAACACAATTCCTACTCTTAATATTTTTCGGCAACTCTGGAAAACAATGTTAACATTTATTGTATTTTCCTGTATCTACATTTTCCTTTTGAAACAAATTACCTTTTGCAACACAAGAACACGCAAACTTTAACTTAATCTTAGTGGTGCTATAATTCATGTTCACATTTATTATTTGAAATAGACTTCCCCATTTTCCCAAAAATATCGGTTTTCTTTAATAAAATGCTATCTTCAGAAATTTGTTCTAGAGCATAGTGGCTATCAATATTTCATTATTATTCAACATTATTTGGTGAACAATTCATTTTTATTCTCGGAATTAAATTGCATTATAAATATTCTTATTCTTGCATAGTTGCCATTTCAAATGATAATTCCATTTGAGCAACGTGGTAAAACACTCTTTCAATAACTGATGTATTTATAAAAATATTGTTGGATTTAAAAATAAGGAAAACAGTGTTTTCCCAAATTACTTTGAATTTAATAATGCATTTAATAATGTACTTTGATCTGAAACGCTATTTTCCCATAATTCATAAGTGATTTATTGTTTGTATGTATTTCAGATCCTTGGATTGACAGTTCATAGACTTTTCCCTTTGTCTGTCGCTCTTTAAGACTATCGTTCAAATATATACTAAACTAAATTTAGACTATCGTTCACTTTTGTAAATACCCGATATAATTTGTACATATTTTGTCTCATGCATTTGCTGTAGATATAGTTTGAGACAACCAGCCAATTTCGCTTCACCCAAATTTCTTTTAGTGGAACCACTCGGATGTGCGGAGAGTGACACATTTTACTAACTTTATTTCGCTCTCCACGGTTACACAAGGGTTGTGACTGGTTGTCTCATTCTGTGACAGGCTGTGACAGGATGTGACATATTGTGGCAGATTGTGACAAGTTGTGACAACTTGTGACAAGTTGTGACAAGTTGTGACAAGTTCTGATTGTGACAGGATGTGGCTTATCTATGCTTCGGAAAAAAATGCCTAATGACAGATGAAAAGAAAAGGTGGGTGACATGGTTGGATAGCTTGTCACAGCCTTGTGACTAAGTGACACAAATTGATGAGGCATTACCTCTCGGGGTCAAACGTGGTCGGATTGGTCCAGTATTCCTCGTCGTAATGCATAGTCCAGACACTGACCAGCACTCCAACACCCTTTTCAATGACAAGGCCCTTATAGGTGATGGTATCGTTGCACATACGATCAAACCTATTAAGTTAAACGTCAGTTATAAGCAGATAGTCACATTCTCATTTAAGTGGTTTTAAAGGGCCAATGACATGAATCTTACTGGGGAACATATTTTGTGCAACTTTCTACTCCTTTTAAATGTATGGAAACTAATAACATCCCTTTTCGTGAATTTGATTGAAAAGTTCCAATTTTTTTTTTTTAAACATTTACAAATTTCCATGTTTTTCATGACAAATGTGTGAGCAGCACTTGCTGTGATGTCATTTCAGGAAGACACTGTTCACTTTTCTGTCCTCATTTGTGAGAAAACGTTGTTCACTGGTTCACTGTCATGTACTGAAACAACAATCAATCATCAAAGAAAAGACAATTGTCAACAGAAAAATATCCAAAATTCTAGCAAAGTTGGGTGCTGAAATAGCTGTATCATTTAGGTTTCTGCCTGAAATGACGTCACACTTCTGCTCATGAATATCGAAATTTGCATAAGCATAAAAACGAAAAAGGCACCAAAGTAGGCCTACCCTTAAAAATGGCAAAATGAAAATTGAAAAGGAGACACAAAGGTGACATTGATTTAACAATTACATTTAGATGATCCCTTTAAATGTTTACATGTTTATACATTGAACGTCGGAACACACTTCAATGCATTGTTTGAACAAAACAATAATATCGGAACATTTAACATTTCCATCTTATTAGCCACATTATCATCAAATTTATAAAGATCATCAGATTAATTGTTCTAAAATCAATGTGTTTTCTTAAATTTTGCGGAAGAACACATAGAAGTAAAGAATACTTCAATGGTTTCTTACACGACTGTTGGGGGATACATGCGCAGTGATTCATTGATCACCATGTCCAGGTACTCCATCTTGGCGATGACGTCATAGCCAAGGTTGTCTCGCGTGGGAGCGAGGTTGTCAATCTCAGCGTGTAGTTTCTCTTGTGCGTCTTGGTTGGTAGCCAGCAGGTAGGCAGTTAAGCTCAGCATCGCGGTGCTGGTGTCGTAACCAGCCAGGAAAAAGATGAGCGACTGATGAGGAAATAAAAAAAGGAATGACACTCTGTTCAAGTGCAGGTTTAATCTACACCTAAAGAATTCTAACGAAGTTTTGGGCCAAATTGTCATTGGAGCTGCCATGTCGGGAACCAGCCAGGGGCAACGGCATGTCGCATACAAAAGAGAAAAAAAATAAGAGTCTACCCTAACCTGTCTGCTTTGCCAAAGTTTCTTCAGCAAATTCTTTGCGCTTTTTAGAGACTCAACGACAGTTTTCATGAGTTTCATACGTTCCATGTCATATTAAAATACAGGCAAACACTACCGTGCCCTAAGGCCAAAAAAAAATTCTCCGGTTTCTGGTATGGAGCTTGCCCAAAAAGTGGTACAGCGACGCGGCTTTTTTTTGCCTCAAATGTCGGCTGATGACTGCAAATAGTGCTCGACTAAGAGAGTCCAGAGAGGCCATAAGCTTATTCTCGATCATAACCCCATCCAAAAACACGTTAAAATTGTGCAGCAGCAGGATTCCAGTTAAACCAGTGCGTTTGGCGGTTTTGAGACATCATCTTTCATTGAAAAAAAAAAACTTTTTCATTTTGCCGATGCGCATGGCTACGGCGACGCGCGCGCATACCAGAAACCGGAGCCTTTTTTTTTTGGCCTAACGAAGAAGAACAACATTCTTCTTCCGAAACCAACGAGAAAATTATCATCTAGTCAAAAGCGCTAGGCTGATGTTCATTAAAAACCATCAGCAAACAAATTCACCTGCGCCATGACATCCTCTGTCGACAAGGGCTTGCGTTGGACCACGCCCTTTCCTTTGGCTTTGTCTGAAGAGGGCGTGTCTTCCTGATCAACCTCGGGGTCATTGTGAGCATTCAGCATCAACTGAAGAAGATCAACGCGCTGTCAAATGGAAGCAGCAACGATAACATCTTAGGTTCGTGCTCATTACAATCTTACATTTCTATACGAAGAATTATAAGATTGCAAGGACCTGTTTCCGATAACACAAATACGCTGAAAACATATTACAATCTTTTTTCCTCAAAAACTTGCTCAGGTGTAAGTTATAGTTTCTTTGACGACAACTTTTTATAAACAAGTCCAAAAGGCTCAGTTCTTCCCAAGATACAACGAAAATTTGCTTCGAAAGGTTTACTCTTTCTGTATTTCTCAAAATTGCAGAATTTCTCAACTGCAGGAGTTATTTTCCAAAGAAAGTGAGATGAAAAAGTATGAATTTTTTTTCTCCAAAGGAGAGTGAGGATTCAGTAAAAAGCAACCAATGCCAAAAAAAAAAAAAAAAAAAAATTGATTTGTTAAGGCAAAATCATAAACCTATTGGATAGAGCGCCATCACAGAGGACAGGGCTTTGGGCCTCTGTTATACGCTCGAGTAGCCATTTTGAACTTTCATTGTCACTAAATTTTAACACAATAAAAGCCTGTCCTCGGTGAGGGCGTTGTGTACATGGGGTCGGAGTGAGTATACGGGTGCAGGCCGGTAAATAGGCTTGAAATTGCCTACGCCGGCCAAATCACGATTAAATTCTTCGGTATTAGAGCATTTTATGGGCTATGATCTTGAGGGTTTGTAAAAAAGGAAGGTGGAAGCTGTGCACAGGTCTGTGAGCTTGCATTTCTGTGAAATCTGGATGAAATTGGGCCCCAAAAGTGCCTTATTTTGCAATGGAGCGTAGGCATCGTTTTTCAAAATGGCGATAGGCTTCAGGACTATATTTAGGGGTGATCACCTTCGCATGATCATGATCACCTTCGCATGATCACCTTCGCAAATTTCTTCCAAAAGTTAACAGATTACCCCCTCCCTCCCCCCCGAAAAAAAACCCAGAAAATGAAAGATGATGAAATAAGCTTTAATTTGATGCATGTCTTGAAACGCCTTGGAGAGGTGTCAGTATTTGTCCTGAATTTCTGAAGTGGGAGCATTTATCATTGGGGTCTATGGAAGTTTATTTACTGGTCTGTAGCCATACATCGCCTACTTACCTGGGAGGCCTGTTCGCCCTCTGCCGTTCGCATTTTGCACGCGGCCTCCGTCACGTCCATGAAAAACTTGAGGGCGTCAGGTGCAAACAAAGATATGTTCAAAAAGGTAAATACACGCCCCATGAACGGAAAAAGACCTGCAAAAAAATGGGGGGGGGGTTGAAATGTTTAAAATATATCATTTTGTGGTTCGATTGGCTGGGGTCTTTTTTGAGTGAACTTAAACACCAAGAAGGAAAACATTATTCGCTTCCCAAAATGATGCGACGTTGTTCACTTTTCTGTTTATGAGAACAAATGTCAATTTACAATAATGATAAATCAACTTTAACCCTAAAAATGGCGGTCAAAACTCAACCAAAAGAAGTGTCCACAAAATTGAGCACGTATAACACGGTATCGTTATGTCATTGAAATACTGCAATTAACTAAGGACTTCCGTAACAAACATCGGTTAAATAATGAAGGCTTACAAATGTTGTAAACCTGTAGTCACGTGACTAAACACGTTGACATACAAATTAACCGGCACAATACAAATGACAAGAAACTACATGTATGTTGAAATTAAACTCATTTTCAGGAAAAGTGCCCTTCTTAAAATGTTATCTTCAGTTTCTTTCTACAGCGGAACTTACTCAAAATTAGGACTTTCGGACTCAGCCTGCTGAACTCGAAAAACTTCTTTGCGTTCTTGACGAACGGATCATCCTTGCTCCCCTGAGAGTCAACCTCGAGACCAAAACCGCACTTGGCGATGACGTCCATGGTGTATGCCCCGGACACACTGAGAAAAGAGGATGGGATTTGGATGCCAACATTTTTCCCATGACATTACGTCGATCTAGAACCTTCCTTTGCTAGTACCCACGTCTTATTTAGGCGCAACGGCTTCCCTTTTCAATTCCTTAACTCTAATTTGAAAGATTCCATTTAACAGATTTGTATAGAAAGTCACAGTTTCTGCTGGCTTACAAAAGCTACATGCATTATTAGCGGTAATACGTAAGTTTCCCACAATGCTTCGCGTTGCCTTCGTGAAAGACATTAGCCATCAGCTTCGTGAAAGATATTTGTTACATATCATAGGGAGGATGGCAGTACCAGATACAACTTTTGGTCGGTATATACGAGAAAACATGTGGAACCTTGTTGATGCATACAATTGCCTCATTTTTTTCGTAAATGTTATAAAGGGGAGTATTTTACTAGTACTAGTTGTGAGCTGTTGGTGCTGTGATTTAAAAACAAATGCCAAATGTCATGAGGTGGGGGCAGTTGACCTTCTGAAACCTCCTCCCCCCTACCACAACCATCAGTTTGCTATAATTGTGGTTGGATACGAGTGAACAAACCAGCAACACGACATAAATCTACTTCGTAAACTGTTTTTTGTTTGTTTTATACACAGGAATCTCTAACTATCGAATAGTTATAACAAAATGTAATCGAAATCGAATCTTCAAAAAGTTTATCAGATATCACAAGGTCAAAGATTCTTCGATCTTTTATGGAAGAAACAAAACTTACACCATAAAGTCGATGGACATGTCTCCCTCTCGCGCTTTACCGATACTCGCCAGCAGAGTATCACAACACTCATTGATCAATGGAGACATCTGAATTTAAGTGAAGAGAAAAAAACACAAACCCCGAAATAATCGACAAGTGGAGGAACCTAAGCGTCGTCATTTCTGAACTTAAGCTACACGTCTCCACCACTTCCTCTCCGAAATTGGTTGAAAAACATACTTTACATCAGATAGAAAAAAAAGGATTTCTACGAATTACAGGTGTCCACGTGCCTGTTAATTCCATGAAATGTTTATGAAATCTAGAATTTCTTAAATTGTATTAAAATCAATGTTTTGTCCGGAAAATCCATCTAGTTTTTTTCCACTAGGCTCTGCAACCTGGGACATTTATTGTTTCTTCTTTCCACAGGTTTTCTAAGTGCCATCAACAATTATAAGGAAATATCGGCTTCAGTATAGTACCAGAAAGGAATAAAAATTGATAGAATGAAAAGAAAGACAACGTTATGTCTACTTTCGGTTATTTTGAAAGGCCCACCCATAATATTTACCTTTCTCATTTTGGAGGCACTGAATGACGGAGTGATGACGCTGCGTATCTCTTTCCATTCCTCATTCACAAGATCAGTCAAGGCCCTGCTTAAAGGTTTCTGAGACATCCCGATCCTCTACAGAAAGCAACAATGAGGTTTGTTATAATTTTATCGTGAGCTTGGATACTGTAATTGCATGGTCTTGGACGGCCACGTCTGGACAATAAAAAGGTTTGTTATACTACAGTGAATTTGTATTGGTCCATCATCGATCACGTGTCATGCAATAAACACGCATGTACAGCGATTGCGCGCGCGCGTGGTACATGAGTGATGTTCTTCCCCACGTGGTACATTACCTTTTTCTTTGCTGCTTTTGAAAATGTCGTTTCCAACGCGTTGTATTTTATTTGTGTGACTTCATGTACGAGGTTGTAGCTACGCTGGTACTACGTAAATCAATGCATTTTTTTTTTATACGAGATGTCCTATTGGGGAGTGTGAAGCAATATTTGTGCAAATGTCGTGTCTAGGTTTTATTATATGTCTGTGGGAGTGACACCGTGCAATGGAAGTTCTATTCACCGCGCGCAATAGAACTTCCATTGCACTGTGCGCTGCGCGCCACGCGTGCACCATGCGTTGGGACGAATAATTCAATGACATAATTATGATCAACGATCCACCAATCAGATGACGGGGATTTATTCAGGTGTTGTGTAAAACAAAACAATCGTTGACTGCTGTGATATGGGATATGACGTTTTAACCCCCTTCGGGGCGCATAGCACCCTCGGCGATGCGCCCTTCGGGTGTTAAAAACGTCATATCCCACATCACAGCAGTTAATAATTGTTAAATGGTACATGTATAAGAGTACTATGATAGTAAAAAAATAGTAGGAGGATTACACAATGGTACAAGAATAATCAAAATAGTATGTGGACCCCGCATGAGCAGACATTAAGGTCTTTCACAAGCACTGAATTGAAATAACAAAAACCTGTCCTCATAGAGGGCGCTCTCTGAGGACAGGTAAAAAAAAAGGTACTACAAAATACATGTATACTCAAAACTTTCGACAAATTGTGAGTGGTAATCCGTTCTTCTGACTATGATTTTTTTAAAGGCGCATTAATTTTGATGTTTTTGCAAAAGTTATTTCTTGATATTTTCTTACAAACGTTACAGTTAAGCAAATGTTTTTCCTAATTATGCCTGATTTATTTTCATTGTCTTTATTTCTCAGTCTTTATTCCTGTTTCTTCAGCAATTGAAATGATTATCTTACCCTTCGATTGTTGAAACTCGAGAAATTCTTGACCAGGATGTTCTTCAGAAGATCAGGGTCAGTGATTATCAGGACTGGCCGATGGAAATCGTACGTACTAATAATTTATATTTGTCCAAAAATAATAACTAAATAATAAAATAAATAAATACACAAATTAAAAAATACATTTTTTTTTACTCGCAAAGGACACATATTATTGCTTCCTTTGAGTAAAGAAAGTGAAATAATATACAAAAATGAATAAAATAATTTCTGAGTGCATTGTGAACAATGTAAAATTATAATAAATAACAAGAATACAACAGTTAGAATAATTAAATAAACAAGAGGGTAAACACAAAATAAGCGAAATATGATGACATTATGCGACGTCACCGCGATTTCCCAATCGGCTGTGTAGTACAGTGTCCTGCCAAACTAGTTAACCATGGTGACGAAGCATACCAGATCACAAAAATTAAAACCAAAACAGACTTAGATGTAGCAAACAAGAAAATGTCATGCAAATAAAATAACCAACCCCCTTGTCTAAGGGGGAGGGGTAAGGTGGGTAAGGAGGAAATGCCACATAAACACCTGTCTGTACAATGTGGTATCAGTTTTTGAAATAGTACGCCCAAGCAATAAAAATGAATTACTATAATATTAAAAAAAAACATGGAAATGCCAGTTATAAGTGCTTATTTAGACTACCTTACCCGACAACTCTTCCGTACTTCTTAACATAATCGGTGAAAGTCGTCTGGAGTCCCTGCATGTCACAAAAAATTTAGAGAAGAAAATAAACTATATTTCGATGTGATATTCTAAAAGAAAACTTTTATTTGACGGGTGGCACTGAGACTTTCTGGTTTTTCCCAGAATTAATACTGATGGAAGTTTTGCACGTCGGGGAGACGTAAATTAACAAGCCAGTGTGCCCTTCTGAAATGACGTCTGTTACAGTGCAAAACCCTATATTGAATTTCAAAATTTAAAATTCAAAAAATAATATCCTTGATTCTTCAAGAATTTAGTGTATTTTTTTGTCTGTTCACAGGTCTGATCAAGGTAAGAATGTTGAAGATACAAAGCTGCGTATAAAGTGGCGGAAAGAGAGATTGAAAGAAAGTATAGACTACATGTATTGAAAGCTTACACGACGCCACTGCAGTGCATTCCCAAAGATGGGAACGTAGTCAGCCACAGGGATGCCTAGTCTCTGAAAATAATGATGACGCCACCAATCATACCTGGGTAAAAAAAAGAAGCTTTCTAAAGAGGATATGCCAAGTCGAATTCTTCAAAATCAAATAAAAACCATAAAACATAACATCACGAATATTTGGAATAATTTTGTGTATTAAAGGTCGTCGCCTAAATAATCCAAAGGTGCGTCTTCTTTAACTTATAAACATTACGCCACGGTACCAACTTAACAAACTTTGTTCTTTGACGCCATCAATATGGGTAGTGTCACCAATGTCCGTTATTGGCAATGGTGACGCAACTTGTACTGCCTGCAATGTTTATAGAAATGTGTGCATAATGCCTATAAATCCTACTCACAAAAAGTAACTTTTACGTTTCCTTTTTCCCGTGTTAAATACTAAATAGGCCTAGGCCTATGACATTGAAACTTTTGAAAACTTCGGAGCAACAAATTCAAAGAGTTATTTTTCATAATTATTGTAGGCCTACAAATACATGTATTGCCTATGGTACTATCATAAACTATACTGCAATGGGATCGAGCAAAAGGTTAGATTGTCACGATAATTCATTTGCAGCAGGCAACATGGTATAAAACTATAAATATCGAGGTTTCCAAAGAGAAAAGCTCCTTACCATGCTAACAAAAGCAGCACGCCAATAACCAACGTCCACGTCACAGACACGTCTAGCCCAAACAGCTCCATGCTCGCTCACCATGCACGAGAAAACTTGGCGATCACTACAATTGACGAGTGTATTTTGGAGAATACAGGGGAGGCCTCGCCCCAGCGGTTCATAATCACATTAATGAGCTAGACCAAAGGTGAAGCGCGCAAAGGTTTACGGTGTTGTAACGCTTCGACTTGATTCAAGTCGGTAAATGGTCCTGGTTTGTGCGTGGCCATGTCGAATACTGACCTATTGTACTGACCTGATATTTCATCTATTTGCATGATGATTTGTGAACACTGTATGTTCGCCCGTACCCCCTGCCCTGCAAACAGGACGCTGGGATACTCTGATGAATTCACGCTCTGATTGGTTGGATTTTGCATGACCAGTGACCTGCGCGTCATCAAGGTCATGACTGAGACTCTGCAAGGTTTGAAACGGCCGTTAAGACTGATTCATTACTCTTTTATTCCAGTTTAGAGATTTTTTTCTCGTTGAAAAGCGTAATAATGTAGCAAATTCTGTAAAACATATCTGTGTTGTAAATTTACAATTCCCGTCACTCGCTTAGGCTCCGTGTCGAATCACGAACGATCGGATTGCATTATGCGACGCTCAAAATGTTGTCCACATGGTCCGCAATGAAACAGAAATTACATCCGGTATGGAATGTGCGCAATTCTATGGGAAGTTTTCGGATAGCATTTGCGCACATTGTCTAACTGCAGTCTTGAACAGCTGCAGCCAGATGCTTTATACATAGGTCATAAGCCACTTCCTTCACAAGATTCTGTGAAGCTCATCAGAGTATCCTAGCGTCCTGTTTGCAGGGCGGGGGGTACGAGCGAACACTGTATGATGATACAATAACACTGTAGTGCCCTCTACGACAGACCTGGCTCCAGCCAGAGCGAGTATAATTCATTTGAACATTCAGGGAACTTCATTTTTAAAAACAAGCAGGGAGCTGGGGGGGGGGGGGGGGAATGGGGCATCAAGACGACGTTATCTGTGACGTCATACCTACCGGTTGTCAACATGCATCCATACCGTAAACAATACCGGTGTAAGATTTAAAACTATCAATATGTCAGACGAATTTGGATGTGTAGAATAACAGTTTACGTTTCCATTGTATCAAGTCAGTGTCAGAAAAATAAATGAACCCAAACATATCCCACTAAAATCGATTTCCAAAGTAAAACAAAACGACTGCAGTATTTCCCAAAATGCTTCCGTTTAATACATACATTACATCACGTCCAGAGTACATAAGGCTAAGTGGAGTATTTTCTCCAAGTTTGTTTTAACTCTTGGTTAAATATTACAGAACCTCATAACTAAAATCGAAAATTACCCAAATTAAAAAAAATACTTAATATAATTTCTGGGTCAATATGCCTCATTAACAAAACAATGTTAATTTCATCATGCGGATTAACATTCACACAACTAAGTACAAGCACTTTTTAAAAATATAAACATATAAGATAACAAAATGTTATCTTCATGTATAATAATACAATATATTACTGCGTAATAAAAAAATGCCAAGTTGAATTGTACAATAAAATTTCGAATGTAATATCACATAGGGCGTACATTGCAATTGCATTAACCTTTTGAGAGATGGTGGTCAAAAGAGGGCGATATTCGGTTTGGGTATTAAACTCTTGTATAGCGCCCCGTCATTCTGGCTGACACATCTCAAATGGGCACATGGGTCTGAAATTGTCTCCATAGCAGACCTACTCAACAATGTCAGTGAAAATACTATTGGGGCAATTCAAACGAGTTCAGTGAGTAAACCTGATGATGTATTTTTCAAAACTTATACATCCATACATCTATGGCCAGGGAGAATACAAACTAGGAGTTCTGGATCATTTCTCGAAATCATTAAATCATTAATAAAATATTGGCTCTGTCACAGACATTACAATTCCTTTCATAATGCTGTATTTGCCCCTGCAGAGAAGTTGTGGATGCTTACAAATAGTCGAAGGCAAGATGACAGTTTAAAACACTGAGCCCCCATCACAGAATTTTGTCAGTTTTCCTTTCTCTTTTTCCAACATCTTTGTAACAAGTCAATGTCCTACATCATTGTTGATTTCCCGCAGTCAATCATTTATACCGTCCAACCAATCACCGAAGAGCCATGTCATGTGACATGACCTACTCACGCGTCGCCCTTCGCATCACGTGATAATGGAAACTCTTGCCCGGACTGAAAAAACAACTATAACCAACGAAGGGTAATGTCACGTGACCTATCATCAAGTTTTAACACGGCCACTTATCGGACCCTTGCTCTGAAAGAATCCAAAAACATGGCAAGATAATTGTTTCAACATAAAGGCATGTTCTTTTCGCACATGGCGACGAACATCTCTAGCGATACACGTGAAATGCACAATATATTTTTTAACAAGTCGTACAATGTATATTGTTGTTACCGCTGGCGAACGTGAATTACTTTAGTTTCCATCAAGTGTCAAGCAAATTAGTAAATGACGCAAAACTAATATTATGTCTCCCTAAAGCGTTACTTGTATCATAATTGAATTAAAATATATATTCTATGGTCGTCCGTTATATTATGCACTCCTACATCGCTTAGGACTAAAACAAAAATACCTTCATGCATAACTTGCAGGAAAAGCTAGGTTGTTAAACGTATTATTATTTTTTTTTTAGTGAACATGTTTACCTAGGAAGTACTATACGACGAGGTACGATACAACGTCTGTATAGCACACTGAATTAGGATCAAAACACTTCAATATGCACGCTGCGTTTTTTTTAATGATTAATGTCGAAGTGTTTACCAAAACTGGATCGATACAATTTTTGAAGCGATAGATATACAAGCGTGCAGATATGGACTTCGGTCCAATTATGTCGATGCGGAACGGTATAAGCGTTTCCTCGATTTAAAGTATAATTTGCATTCATTTTTCAATTACAAATATCCTTCGTTTTTGCAATTACACAATTGTATAATTGTTGCTTAAAGATAAAGGCATTGTTAAAAAAATCCCTCATTTTATTCGGAGATATTTAAGTATTTAAGTATGACGATTAGCTTGCTCTATAATACGGTCATGCAGTAAACATAAGCCAAACATTAAAAACCAAAGGTAAAAGTTCATGTTCTTTGTCACTTATAATACGAAAAAATGCTTGCCATATTACAAAATATTTCTACCTTTCGTCGTTTGCTGCTCCTTAAAAAGAAAAAAAGTTAGAAATATAAAATTCCTGTGCAACTTATACATATTTCTTTTATAGATTGAAAATAAAACGAGTTGTGCACATTAGTATTTAACATGAAATAAGCACTGAAATACATGTACAGTTTGTAATAGGATCACATTTCTTCGACGAAATGCCGAACTTTAAGTTTGCAATTCATCGATAGCTTTCCAATTCATCGATCAGTTTCCGATATTATCGATGCTGTCACTTACACTGAACGCCGTTCTTTAAAAAGGAGCGTTGTCATGACGACGAACATCAAGGAGCTACACGATTATTTCTGATGAGAAAGCGAACATTAAAAACGGTGTGAAACAAAGTACACTTAAAATGTCCCATTGGGACATCAATTACTAAATGTTGTTCTAAATGCCAACTGCATTAAATCCTTCTGTTAATTATAAATTATGTAGTGCATTATAACCAGATTATTTGGTGGTTTTTCCTTAAACACAATTTAAAAACAATTATCACTACACAAGAGCCGTAACAAACCCCAATGTTCAGATTGTCTATTGTTTTTTTTTATCAAAACCCCAGGCCGTCATGAAATGGCAAGTGGATGTAAAACTACATGAAATGACATGAAGCTAGATTGTACACATGAACCCTCTAGAGCCACGAGGTAGGATCACACAACATCGGCATCCAAGGCAATTTATATGTTAATTGCCTGACAGCATCACGACGCCAGGTGTATGAAACGAGGTTCCAGTTACCGATGCATAATTAGCAAACGAACCCGTGGCTCACTTAAAGCTTTATTTGCAGGGGAAATTTAACCTAATTGGTCTTGGTAAATGTACAATCATCTTTGAGGGGAAAATGAATTTCTTTAATCAACATGACAAGATGACATGTACATAATGTGCAGCAGAATGTAAAAAAAAAAACGACTACTGTTATTTGTGTATGCAGGCATATTGTTTGGATAAAACTAGACGGATTTAGATGACAAATCTGATTTGAGGCATTGAGGTGAAGAAAACTTCAAAATGGCTGAATGGAATTGTGGCCCTTGGCGGAATTAGAATTTGTTTATAATAAGTCGACGTTTCAGTCACAATGCTCTGATCGTGATCAAGAGAATGCAACAAGCTAGGCGAGTTGCATCCTTACGGAAGTCAAGATGCTGCTGGTTCTCAAAGGGCCACACTCCTTTTCTTAACTAAGTCACTTCAACTGGTGTATCCAAAAAACTTTTCCCAACTTACCTTGATCTGGAGGAAAGTCGGTCTGCGTCTTATGACTCGGTGATGCTTCGGTGGACTGCTTTCGCTTCTGGGCGTTTCTCATGGCTTCGGCCATCCTTGATGTCAGGGTGTTTGGCAGGGGAACTGTTGTCTTGCTGTTTGGTCTCACGGGCAAGTTGGCGTTGCTGTTGTTGAGGTTCGGGTTCGGGGCATCGGCAGATTCCTTGCTCAGCTCTTCCTCGGCTTGATGTTGGATTGGCTCTGCTGGTTCCGTGGTGACCTTGGAGGCAGATTCGGGAGAGCTACTTGTTGATTCCATGCCAGTCTCAGAGGGATCCTTAGAGGATATGTTCTCTTGAACCTGTGCTACATTTTCTGTTTCAGAGAGTTCACATGTTGCTCCTTGATCCAATCCACTTGGATCACTGTCCTTAACTGGCTCTGCTGCATCTACTACCTCTGCCGCTTCACCTTCCTCCACAGGCACATCCTCCCCTGTTGCTGCTTGTGGACTCTCTTTTGTGTCACTGCTTTGCTCTGCTTGTTCTTGTAGATCTGGCGTAGGTTGCATTGTAGGATTTGCATCGTCAGCTTCTACAGTTTCCTTGTGAGGATTGGGCTTATCCACACTAGTTTCCTTTTCTTGTAAACCAGATTCTAGTTCAGTGTTCTTCATCTCCTCTACAGCATCTTCTTTAGAATCAGGGGTTTCCTGTGGTGGGCTGGAGGCAACTTGTTCTGTTTTTAATACAGAATTGGGACTCTCCTCAACCTTTGTATCACTTGCATCTTTTTCCTCGATCGCTTTCTGAGTAGAAGTTTCGTCAGGGGCGGCATTTGCTCCAGTGTCATTGGTTACTGGTGGATTCTCTTCGGCTCCACTGGTTTCTGCTGTAATCACATCAGAGGTGTCTTCCTGAGCTGGCTCTGAATTAACTGGCTGCGATTCAACTTGCTCTACCCTGGTCGTCTCAAAGGCATTCTCGACTTGATTATCAGCCTGACTGGACTCTACAACCTCGACGTCGGTTGTTGTTTGCTCTTCTCCTTTTAGATCTGAGTCAGCACCGAGGCCCTCATCCATCTCCTCCGGGTTTGTCTGGTTAGCTTTGTCATCTTCATGCTCTGCTATGTCGGCGCTCCCAACCTTGTCTGTTTCATCCACTGAGTTCTCAACAACAGCATCTTGACTCTCGGATGCGACACCTGTGTTGCCCATTTCCTGTGCAACGTCTTCCAAGGTGGCATCTGGAGGTGAAACCTCCACATCTCCATTCGGAATCTGGACTTCATGCTTAGCATCCTCAACATCCTCAACTTGTGCATCTGTTTCTTCAGGACGATCAATCTTACCTTCTTCCTGAGGAGGTCCTTCTTCCTTGGTAGCTGCGTCATCTCCCTTTGTTTCAGCATCCTCTTTCTCATCTGATACTGGTTCAATCTGTTTAGTCTCAAAGTCCTCCTTAACCCCATTAGCCTCGATTTCTTTGCTCTCAGGTGCTACTTCATTCTCTGCCGCCTCCCCATTCACTTCTCCCTTCTCCCCCTCTTTTTCTTCCTCATCGGCTTCTACGATAATCTCCTCCGGAGGTTGCTCTCCATCTTTGAACATCTGCTCCAACTCCTGAGGCGTGATCTCAAAGAGCATGGAGGTGGATCTGGAGCGGCGAGACTTGACCGTCATGGCGATGCTCAACCTCTCGTAGATGCCTTCCACTAGTTGCTTCCCCTTGGCACTGAAGAAGATGAACTCGCCCTCTCCATGTGGGGAACGACTGGAGGATAAAAATATGTAATATCATGTGTAAATAAAAACAGCATCAACAAAGAACGTTTTGAGTTGTATGATAGAATTTTTTTTGGCAATACAACCAAGCTGCCATCTTAAATTGTGAACGACCATAACTTGACCGAATTACGGAGAAATTCAATAAGAACAGGAATTACACAGGGGTACAATACCATTTAAAAACAGTTGTCATTTATTGAAAGACCGTAAATGAAACCAATTCTGATTAAGGTCCATAAGCCACATGACAAAAAAAAAACAAGGCTGGATACAAAAAAAACACCCCAAAACAAGACAGGATGCAAAAATAAATAAGCAAGGTACAACGAATCAAAGGTTTAGTGAAAGGGCACCTCACTATAGACTAAAACAAATGTTGCAAATGAAACAGCATCAGCTCTTAACAAAATGATGAAAATGTTCAAATCCTTTCCCGTGGAATTCTTACTTGCTAGGCAGGATGTGAACGATCTTCTCTGCATCCAGCTGGTGACATTTAGAGATCAGCATGAACTTCTTGAGGTGTCTGAGGTCCCACTCTTGAGCAATATCCCCAGTCTCCGTGTCGTAGAGGTTGATGTTTGCCAGTGAGATGTGGGCGAAGTAGTCTCCTGCTAGCTTCAGTCGCTCGGAATCCTTGTTTGGAATCACGCTGACGCGCATGAAATCTGTTTGAAAGTGGGAGTTTAAATTATTGTTATTTTACACTACCGATGTGGCGTCGTTCTTTAATTTTACTCCTGTGTGTGTTCACAAATATCTCAAAAATACTTCTGAGACTCGCTCAGAGGGTGATTACATTTAGAGTCAAGTGTAGACAAAAGCTGCAGGCAGCAGTATAAGTTGAGAAACAGCAAAACTTAGAATTATTTTAGACCCTTTCCCAGAAACTATCGGTTGTATTTTCTCTCGAATTGGATACTAACAATCAGACCTTTCTTAAAAAGGGGTGGATTACTCCAGTTAGTTCTTTGAACTGTTAGCTTCACAAATTTGGACATTTCATTGAACAGCTATAGGCAAAGAAAGGTTGCCAAGCATTGAAGTTATATGCTCATGGAAACACAGGTGATCACCTGCCAAAAGGTCATGCGATATTCATCTTAATTAGTTATCGGCTGATTTTGGCTTATTGCGGCTTATTGCATTTATTTGCTAATCTAAAGGTCCAAGGTGTGTTGGGAAACAGTTTGAAGCACAGAGGGGGTGCAAGCACCTACCTTCGGGGATGCCAGGCGGGCAGGCCAGCTCCTTGACCGGAGGCAGCAGGTTGATCCGGAACATGCTCAGCCAGTCCTGGGTCTCCATCTCGCTGTCTGCACTGACGGCCAGCAGGACCTTAGACGCCGAGGAGATCTCGATGGCGTGCTCCTGCTTCTTGGAGGTGGTACGCTGCACCTTGACCACGCCCTCCAGGAGTAGGCTGGTGACGGTCTTGTGGTAGGCGCCCTTTTCCATGTAGAGTTCTAGGAGGAGGGACTTGCCGGTGGATGAAGTGTTCTGCTGTACGACCACCCATTTTCGCTTCCACGCCTAGAAAAATACAATCATGGTACAATGAAAACAAAATATCACTAAACTCTCTACTCTAACATTGCAAGCTTGTTTATGAACCCACAAAACAAAATTGCGATGTTAAAACGAGCACCACATTGAACAACTCCACCAATACCGATACCAACCAAAATATTTTATCACCACAGCTTCTGCAGTGCAGGCAAAATATATTATCTATTCGAACACCTTATGACTTCACTATGTAACTAATAATTTATCTATTTTTACAGTTTCGAAAGGACATTTCGATAGTACGCTTGTTTTGAACTTTTCGTATACCTGCTCAAATACTAAATTTTGATAAAACAAGATGACATTAATTGGAAAACAATATGTACGAAACTGAATGAAAATGTTAACACGTGAGTATGAAACAAACTTTTCATTATGAATCTTAACACTTGCAATGAACCTGTCATATCAGGGAATAACAGAGAATTAGAGAACAACACACATACGAAATATCTTCTCGCAATAAATGCAGGAAACGATCATACAAAACACGCAAGCATGGGGAAATCAGGTTTTGCAAAAATACGCTCATTCAATCAATGGATTATACAGGGTGGATCAAAAAACAAACAAACGAAACCGATATTTTATTGCTATTTGGAACAGAAGTAGGGCACATGTGAATCAAAGGGAGATATCCTCTATTAGGGTTGAATCTCCTCTTTAAAATGACACCCTGATCATGTCATTACATTCACGGCTGACTGAGCAGTTTGACCTATTTTATGAAAGGGCCTATTTAGAGAATTGCGCCACTTTTCAATTGTGGTTTTTACGGTGTCATTAAGTCACAGAGTGAAAGGCTATGGTTGCCAATCAAGGCAGGTGGGAAAAAAAGAGAGATTTCACCATGAAAAGTGGCACAATTCTCTAAATAGGCCCTTTCATAAAATTGGTCACTGCTCAGTCAACCGTGAATGTAAGGACATTACCAGGGTGTCATTTTAAAGAGAAGATTCAACCCTAACACAGGATATCTCCCTTTGATTCACATGTGCCCTTCTGTTCCAATTAGAAATGATATTTCAGTTTCGTTTTTTTTTTATCCACCCTGTATAAAACACTTTCCTGTGAGTTACTTTTTTATTCCAATTGCCAACCAAGTAAATCTTTGTGGCGTTGTATTCCACTCGCACAACACAAGCATAAAGGTTGATTCCAATTGCCGTCATGGGTTTCACGAAACACAAAACAGTTTAAGCAGGGTTTTTTTCCGAGATGCATGACAAAATTTAAGATAAAGATTTACAGTAGCACCATGTGAAAAAAATCTCTTTTGTGAGTTTGTGAGGTTCTGAAAAGTACCGGGGGAAACTCAACGTTTCGGACAGTATACCCTGCTCGTCGTCAGGAGACATAAACAAATTTGCAACTTGGTATTTTTTGAAGTAGTTTCCTCCAATGGCATAATGGCTTCGCTTATTTTTAATTTCGTATAACAAGACCAGACATGTGCAGCCTGCAAGTGTCATGTCATTATACATTTGACACCACATCTCACACCTTGTAAAAAAATCCCATTACTCCAGTGGAAGTAAACAAACTCGCATGGTTTATTGTAATAGCGCGTTCGCCTCAAAACACACGGGACCTCTGCTCTCGCAGGAATGTGACACGTGACCAGCCTTTTTTTGAATGACGTACTTGTATGTGGTGCACTGTGCCTCTGACGAGGTCAAGGTTATTGTTGGTCGGCATGGGGTAACTGGACGGATTGGTGGTATCAAGTGCGAAGTGCCTGTCAATTCTTCTAAATGTACAAATGTGCAATTTATGACAGTTTGTACAGTCACTGCAACAAGTTCTTCCCAATTTTTTTTTCAAATGGCGACTTTCTTTAAAATGACGGGAAAAATGTTAATAGAGGATTTTATGTTGCTATGCTCTTCTCTTCAAACATGACCCTATTACTTGTTAAAACAAGTGCTACGATCAGTCTTTAAACAAAAGAGCGATACAGATGTACATTGTACAGGGTGGATAAAACACACCGAAACCGAGATATTATTGCTAATTGGAACAGAAGTAGGGCACATGTGAATCAAAGGGAGATATCCTCTGTTAGGGTTGAATCTCTTCTTTAAAATGACACCCTGATCATGTCATTACATTCACGGATGACTGAGCAGTGACCAATTTTATGAAAGGGTCTATTTAGAGACTTGCGCCACTTTTCATGGTGAAATCTCTTTTTCCCCACCTGCCTTGATTGGCAACCATAGCCTTTCACTCGGTGACAAATGACACCACAAAAACCACAATTGAAAAGTGGCGCAATTCTCTTAATAGACCCTTTCATAAAATTGGTCACTGCTCAGTCAACCGTGCATGTAATGACATTACCTGGTGTCATCTTAAAGAGGAGATTCAACCCTATTAACAGAGGATACCTCCCTTTGATTCACACGTGCCCTACTTCTGTTCCAATTATAATATCTCTGTTTCGTTTTTTTTTTATCCACCCTGAGTGTTTCTAAAAACTCAGAATTATTGCACCACAACGCTGTCCAAATGGAAAGAATGTACATGTCGTACCCAGACGTCACTTCTTCGGATGATGGGTACAAATATGTGTTTGATTTGGCAAGTCGAGTGCATTTTCAAAATATTTTCTAACAAAATTGGAAATTCTTCTCAGTCCCAGATTCATGTGTTATCAACATTTTTGCAATGACATTGAGATAATATATGATGAAAAAAGTGGCGTCAGGATGCAACATTCTTTCCGTGCAAATTGTAATTTGTTTACTAGACTGCTCTCAATTCAAAATCACCCAGATGGTTTGTGAGGACGGTCGAGCAAACGAACATTAACTTTATATCTTGTGAATGTTTAAGACCAAAGTTTTGGCTATGGGTTGCGGCTACACGGTGATTGATTTAGGAATAAATCTAGCAAAAAATGTCCAGGGATTTAGGGTAGATGAAACGAATTAACCTTAAACACGACATTATCGAATCCCTATTTCTTTCACAGTCATTCTTGCGAAACGAAGTGAATATAGCTAATGTTGGCCTTAGGAAATACCCAACTTAGCAAACTCAAAAGATGAATGGAGTGACAAGCACACGCCAGCTCGATGTTTTCGACATGTTCTCTCAGTCTAGACTACTCATTTCCTGGACCCGTGTCACTTTCCAGTCCCTTGGGTAGAGGTGACATCTTTCTAAGGGTGGGGAAGGCCCCTCAATGTGAAATATTTTTTTGTGGTGTAATACTTGGCACCGTTTCAGGACAGTCGCACCACAGAATCGCTTGGCCGGCTAACTGTCACATTATTTTTTGTTGGTTTACCAGAAAACTGAACTGCATGAGTCAGGGGGATTTGACATAAATTACAGCATCACTGCAACTGCGTAGTTACCTACGCCAAGGGTTTTGCCAGTTGGTTGGTTTGTCTGTTAACAAGATAACTCAAAAAGTTATGGACTGATTTGCATGGAATTTTTTTTAAGGAGTGGTCCTTGGTGCAAGTACAAATCGATTCGATTTTGGAGGTGATCCGGATCTGGGTCTGGATCCAGGATTTTTTTAAAAAGGATTCTTCACTATTTATGCAAGTATTTCTTTTGGGTGTACTGACAATATGGCGGGGAATTGTTTAGTCTTGACGGAGGTTCGCGCTCTCTGAGTGCTTTCTAGTTACACACGATCGCTTCCGGATTGAATTCTATGGCTTTGCTTACTGTTTGCATTTTTTCTTTCCAGCAAACTTTACCGGACAATTTTGCACTATGGGTGAGCTTATTTCAACGCGGATGTCAAAACTATCACATAAGCAGAAGTTATTATATATTTCCCCCTACCCTCCACCATCATGAATCTACCCCTGAGTAGACAGTGAGTAGACCTTTTAGGTGCCGAATTATTCATGTGTGACGTTTCCGCATATTTTCGGCGCTCTTTCATAAATAATAGAATGCCTCCGAAAAGCTATTGACGAAAAAAAAGCAAAAAAAGTGATATTATTCCAACACATGTAACACGAAACCTAATAATAAAATAATCAACATCTATGACCTTCAGACACCTTCCTTAAACATTCCACCGTGATACTGTGTTTCCCTGCCATTTGACCTCAGTGTGTGTAAAGACGCAGCATGAGACATGCATGCAATGAAGGGAGGTACATGATGTAGTGAAAGTTGCTCGACACGAAGCAACCCAAGCCATTGGAATAAAACAAAATTGGAAGAAACAGAGTTGTGTAGGTACAATGTTTATTAGCTAACATTATTAGCCGTATTTCCAAGGTTAAAACAAACAGGTTTGGTTGGCGAGGCAGGTTGGCGTAGCGGCACTTTCCTCGCCTTCCACCGCTGTGACCCGGGTTCGAATCCCGCCTGGGTCAATATGTGGATTGGGTTTTCAGTCCCTACCTGATTCCGTGGGTTTTCCCCAGAATATCTTCTGGGCTTTTCCTCCCACCTCTAAAAACTGTAATTGCTTCTCATTGTCGTCTCTCTAAGTTGGTGTGATGTTTCCCCTGGGATGCTTTACCGACTATAATATACAGATACATACACAGATACAGAACAGTAACCAGGCGTCCAGCAGAACCCTTTCTTAAAGCGGTTTGAAGAAACGCAATGAATGTCAAAACAACAACATAATTTTCGTTAAAAGTACTGTTCAGTCGAATTAGATATTGAATATCTAAGGTGGCCTTTAAAATGATCATGGCAACAAAAATATTTTATGGCCTTTTTAAGATGACCACTTAGCACATATTCACAGCTTTGAAATGCTTTAAAAGCGTTTATAGACGAAGTTTTACTAGGCCTCACACGATTAACAGTTTGTTGAATATCACATCGTTTATATTGTTTGATTTAATGGCTGAATGTAGTTGTCTGCACTAAACGTTCATTCAGACAGTGTCCCTCAAACATGCTTAAAATCATAGCCATACTATCCTGACATTGGCATTGTGCGTCAATGCAACGAAAAACCAAACGATAAAGTTTTCAGTCGACTTCAATTCCCGCCATGAATCTGTCATTATGTTTGCTATTGACAAGAAAGCTGATAGCATTTCTTGCCATCATTTTCTTATCACCGTGTATAAGTCAACGACCAAATATTGTGTGTCTGTAGGTTAGCGGGTCAAAGTTAATTTCATATCGAGGCAGGGTGTATCCTGTCGGAAAATGGTCCCCCGCTGCGAAACCTGACTTGCAATTTGGAAGTTATTAAATTTGAAGACTATTCGTGCATGTTATACATAATTTTGGATTCGGTAGGCACACCCTAATTAATTTCTAATTAAGATATACTTGTTTTTGGTTCATGCCCAAGTGAACAAATAGAATATAGGACACAGCATTTTGTAGTGTAGTTTATGTAGTAAAGCAGCCTGGCCTTTACATAAAAGTTTTTTAAAAATAAACATAGGAATAGCCTACAGTCGTGTTTGTTGATAATGATATCCATTCCAAACAGACTCAAAGGACGAATAGTATGAGCTACCAAAACATGTATAGGCGGCAACCAAACAAGGAAAAACACTTTGGTAGGCACTTATCAAGTCATCAAAATAACATCAAGTTTTCAAAAGCCACCATCGGCACACCCAACCCTTTCTGTGTATTTTTATAGATGGAATTTCATCTAAATTATGCATTACTTCTACGCACTTTGTATGCCTTCAACTTATTAAGGATTCCGCTGACCGTATATTATAACTGCATCATTTACCATTCACAATCGCCATCAAGGTCATACGTACATGTAATTTTGTGGATTGTCAGACGTAACAAATGGTTTAATATCGTCCGTGTCATTGTATAGCGCAGGTGGGGTCTCTGTTTATAGTACATAATTATATTCCGACTACATCAAATGCTGTGCCTATAGGCCTAGTTATGACCAATTATATACAAGATTCGCAAACACACGAGGTTCAAACTGAGAGGGTTATGAACGAAATGTTTACAAATTGAACTGGCATGGGCACACTACCATGGAGACGTGTTTTTATACTTCCATGAGTACCAAATCAAATACCGTCAAGCATCAAATATCCTATTTAGTTGACATGATGACATTGGAATAAGAACAGGCACTGTTTGCAGAAATATTTACAATCGAATGGTTTCTCAGCTTGCAATATTGTTGGAAATTTCAGTGATGGTCGGCGCTCGGTGATTATTCATAAATCTAAAGCACCGAAAGGGGAGGGGATGCCTCAGACAGCAACAATGCAAGCATGGGAGAACATGTACATGTATATGTATATTTAACCCTAACCTTCCCAAATCCTCAGCCGAGCATAAATATAGGCCTAGATTATCTTGAAATCCTCCGCACTGCTCCAGGATGACACTGGCTCTGAATGCCTCAACGTATTGACAGTGGATTGCTGGAGAATTTTGCAGGATTGAGGCAGAGGTCACCCCTCAAAGGACCACATTCCAGAAGTAACAGAGGATTTTGCAGGATTGAGTCTGTATGCAATGTTTACATGGAGGCAGTTGTAGGATTTTGCAGGATTGAGGTTGCATCCTGGCAAAGATGGGAGTTAGGGTTAACAAGTGAAAAGCATAATCGTAATACATGTTCAGGTATATCATGTTCACTCCGGTCTTAAAAGTGACGGTATAAACATTCAGTATGACCAACTCCACTTCCTGGTAAATACTAAAGTGCCTCCTCCACTTTTATGTTAAATTTTCCAGGTTTTGTCAAACGGGCACTTTATTTGCACTTGTCTGAATACGGCCTACAACAAAACTACAAGAGTGTGTACGATATAATTTCAGTGCTTAATACTGCACTGACCCTGTGGCTTCCGTGTTTTATGCGTGAGCAAGGCCAAAGTACTTTATTTATAACAGACGAATATGAAAAAAATAATCAAGGTCAAAAATACTGCAAGCCTTATCGATGCGTAGCTGGATTACAACTTTATGACTAGAAATTGAATTTAAATCCTTGGATCACTCCTACTCATTTCTCTTGCCCACAACTTGAAAAACAATCTTTTTTAAAACAATATCTCTGCGGTGAATGAATGTGTCGATATGATATTAAATGTTATTCCTAAGAAAGTGTGACAGGAATTTCACCCAACACCGTCTTTCCTGTTAGCACACTTAATCTATGTCCCCAAACTTGTCAGTTGATGTGTCACTTTAATATTTTCAATGAACAACACTGAAATAAAAACAACCACGGCAAAAAAACCGCACATCCAGATCCAGTATCAGTATACAGAAACTGATAATTGATAATGACAAATAATAGGATTATTCCGCCCGATTGTTTCCGCACAATGGTGTACTTCAGAGTAGAGTTCGCAGGCACCGAGTCCAAATTCCATGAAGTATAGGATGCCATGTTGTCCTTTCTTTAATCCTCGTGAATGAATGATGATGTCACCCTCAAACCATGGAGGAATGGCCAAAACCAAACGATATTTAATCCCATGGGAATTTTGATACGCTTGGCAGGGCGTGAAATGGATTATACACGTGTGTTTGGAATCACCGGAAATCAAATTCCATTTTGAAGGCCATTCGAATTTACTGAAAATAATTTCTACACGGGTTATTTAAAAAGTATGGAATTTAAAGAACCTTCTCAAAATAAATTCAAATGATACTGCCGGATTTTCTGAAGAATAAGGATATATCCAGATTAATATCGACGTGAAGAAAATAAACTAATCTCGTCAAACCATGGAGGAATAAAATTCTCCATGGTCAAACTGACACAGTTTTTTTTGTTCCTTTAAATCTACAGTGTTACGACTACGACGAGGTAAGGAATGCTTGTATAGGTTCATGGTATTTATTTAATATCGTCCTCGGGATCTGAGAAACATGACGGTCCAAACTCGATATCCAATTAAACTTGCATTCAGTTGATGTATATTACTATATTCCAATAATATTATTTGTGATATAGGCCGCCGTTGAGCCTCGAGTTACGCTCACATTTTTTATTATTACCCTCAAATTACAATAATATTGTAATATTATGGTAGAGTGCACCTCTTTACATTTTTTCACATGCCGATACAAAATATACAATTAGGCCTAGGCTATATAGATACATGTAAATTCTTTTTCTAATTTTTTTTAAAGTGTTGAAAATGGCGTCTGAATAGAAGAAAATCATCAAGTTGTGTTTTCATGTTGAAAAATGAGTTTGATGTCAAGGAGCTTCTCGTGAAAGTTTACAACTTATACATTAACCATGACAACAATGATTTACAGACGCGTGAATAACATACCTGTTTTTTTTTTTTTTTTTTTTTTTAAATAAGAACTCATGCTCCCTACCCCCGAGTTGAGTAGACCACCAAGGGGGATGTACAATCACCACAAGGGTCAAAGGTCAGTTATAGACCGGGGGGAGGGGGAATCGATAAAGTAGTCCCATCTTCCACTGTTCCAGACGAACATGACTGACCTTAAAGTTTAGGCACAAAGTCTTGAGTTTCTTACAAATCAAGTTGGTGAATGTGTCTACTACTAGTCGACCCTAAAAACTCACCTTGCCCAAAGCTGAACGGGAAGACAGCTTCACTTGCAAAAATCCCTCTTTCTTGCGTCCTCGTTTGCTGTTCATGATGGCTGGAAAAGAATATTACAGGCGGGCTGGCTGAACAACAAAGAAAACAGGCAGCAAAACTTTTGTCAAAGTCTGGCACCCAAGGCAGATGCTTTGAGTAGTGAGTTGGAAGGACACAAACTGTGGTTCGTGAAGACAGGCAGTCGTCACGCCTTGTTTTTATTTTCAGCACGGTCCACCATGTACTCAAACCGCACTAATTCTGCACCGGATAAACTCATTCAGTTCCCACGCAACCAGACGCAACACAATCGTCATGGGCAAGTGTCGACCTCACTTTAGAGATGATGGTTGAAGAGAAAGTTCCCTCCAAGTCCTCAAGAAAAAAGAACGGTCCATGCACCGAAAGGGGTTGAACCCGAAGCGTTGAAATCCCAGGACTAACATGTACTCCGTATGCCTGTCATATCATCACATGTTCAGTATATCCTGCACACTTTTGGAGCTAGGTACACACTGACAATTGGTTTCGTATGCTCTTCAATGCGTGCTACGTGTATGTACATGTACACATATGTACACGCAGCTTTTGATATGGCATGGAAAGTGCGGTGGTGTTTCTGTGGTTAGTTTCAACACGCCTACGTACGTCTGGTTTGAGAGAAAAAAGAAAAAAACCCTGCTTGCACGTTTGACCGAGCATACAGAACACCGCTCATTCACACAGGATAAACACCGCTTGAGTGCTATCAACCTGCCCCCGCATTCAACACTGGGCCCTATACTAAATGTTTTTGTTAGCTATTTGCAGTGGGTTGTCGCATGGCCGGTCGCACGCCGCTGCACACACGAATAAAAGTGACTGTGTGTTTGCTTTATTAAAATGTTAAAGTAACTAATATTGCTTGGAGGGGTATGTGGAGTGGGTGCGTTGAGCTGTCGATCAAGGTCGAGTGGGGGTTGAGATGATAATTTAGGAAGGTCGAACTATGATCCCGATCCCAGCACTTGATCATTGAGTGCTACATGGTTGGCCACCAATTTATCATTTTGAATGAGTTGCATGTTTGACATTCTGCAAAGGTTATCGCATATTTTATCTAAAATGGATTGTACACTTTTTTCTGTGCGATATTATTGATATAGATACATTCATAAGTGCCGTGCAAATTTCAGACTGAATGTATACATGTTAACGGGTGTGATTTCTAAAAAATAACAAGAGTCCGTTTTTCCTGATTTTAGCAAAATTAAGGATATTTTTTTCTAAGTGAATACACTGTATTTTAGAAGCATCAGTCCACGACGCACCTTTGTTTTTTTCGCTATCAGTCATACGCAGTGCGTTTATCTTCAACCATATGAAGGCAGCACTTAGAAGAAAGAAGAAGAAGATCACCCTCAGCTCTTTGACATTAGTTTTTTGTCGGTTTGTGGTTTTATTCCTTCATTTTTTTTTAATGTCGGATTGTGCTGATAAGGTTTTGAAACTGATTTCTCATTCGCAAAGATTGATAGGGGAAAGCAAAAGGCACAAAGCCTCCAGTGAGTTTTTACACATCCTATAGGCCTTTCTTTTGTTTGTAAACTTTGGCGCCATTTTGTATGGGCTGCCGTAAGCGCATACATTGAAGCCGTGGTTGGCAACATATTTTTCCAAAAAAGTCCTAATAACGCCATCAACACATAATAAAAAGGCATGTGTAGGAATTATTTTGTAGCTTTGTTGAAAATGTTGTATTTTCAAGTATCAAATAATATTTTGGTGATCTGTAATAACTCTTCTTCATTTTTGCAGTGTCGGACCTTCCATAGTTTTGCAGGCCGTGGTTTGCAAAAATGCAGTTTGCCAACCAAGCGCAGAAAGGTCTATTAAAAAGTAACTTTGTAGCGCGCGCTCCGAAGAGAAGCTGGTTGATTGCAATGAACTGATGAGGGCGCTGTTTAGGAATTTAGTCTAAGAAATGACTCGACGGATGCAGGCCATAAAATGGGCCATACAATCGCCAACGCGGGCCAAAACACAATTTGTATGCCCTCAATTTGTTTGCTATATTAGAGCATGTCGTGGGCCATGAACTTGAGGGGTTGTAAAAAAAAGGAAGGATGGAAGCCGTGATCAGGACTGCGACATTGTATTTCTGTGAAATTTAGATGACGATGACCAGAGCAGGCTAGTCGAAACGTTAAACCAAAGACAAGTCCTTTTAGAACTCCGCCAGCAGGACTGTTCTTATCAGAACTAAAAACTACTCAGCGAAATTTGATAATAAGCAGGACTCGACAAGTTCTTATCAGAACTAAACATCTAGGCCTATTGAGCGAAAGTAGTTATTACCACATATGGTGTTACCTAGAAATGTTAAACTAAAAAAACACCCCTAAATTTAACAGAAAATGAAGGATGATGATTGAAATAAGCTTTAATTTGATGGGTCTCAAACACCTTGGAGAGTTATGAGTATTTTTCCTGATCTTGAGAAGCGGGGGTGTTTATTTGCTGGTCTGCAACCTTACAGACAAAGAAAGTCCCTTGACCTTTGGGATTTTATATCTCGGATACTGATATAACTCTCAGCACTTTATTTTTAAACCATAGTTTTTGTTCCAGCTCTGGATAGTTTGCTTATCGGATGTATTTCTGATAGACGTGGGTGACAAATAACCATTTTTCTTTTTTTTACCATAAATGTCCAAGTGAGTTTTATAATGCAATAGACGTACATGCATTCGACATCTCTATGCGGACCCCTAGTAACAGTACCGACTAAATGTTCTCACAGTACGTTAATTGAATTTGCATGTTTGAAAAACATATTTTAGTTTTGTGTACTGAATAAGTACCTGGTAAATTACATTTTAAATAGTGCCGTACCTTTTTTGTTACACAATTTTGTTTTAAAACAAGTGCAAGTGCACAATAAGCTCTGGCTGGAGCTTTAAAATGCGACGCTGGAACATGCGACGCCAATGGCACATATTGATCACCATACTTTTGGTCAATTTTCGGGACAGACATACAGACAGACACAAGGACAGACCGACAGACAGAACGAGCGACCGCCAAGCGACATGTAGAAGCTCTGCCAGAGCTTAAAAATGGAAAACCTAACTGGTTGGCACTATTTCACCACTTGGCGGCGTCCTTTATATACCAGTGATTGGCAACCGAAGGCGTTATTTATGAAAGAATGAGGGCGCTGTTACAACGCCATATTCTGGGTACAAACAGTAAAAATATAAATTAATTTAAAAATTAGAAGATCTTTAAAATGTATTTTGTACTTGTACGTCACAACCATGAATTAACTTACGTTTCTAAGCCCAAAATGACGTCATGACAGCGCCCTCATCCGTGGGAGCCCTTAATAATCTGTTATTGGCATTTTATTTATATTTTACATATATTCTGTAAGCTAGACCGTTTAGAATTCGGTCCAATTACTTTCGCTCTGGGATGAAAACTAGGCTACTATTTCAGCGTTGGTACCTGGTGCCATTCACCAGCAAACATGCAACATTCGTTGCTCCCTACGGGTTGCAGACCAGTAAATAAACTGCCATAGACCCCAGTGATAAATACGCCCATTTCCGAAATTCAGGAAAAATACTCACAATTCTCCAAAATGTTTGAGACACCCATGAAATTAAAGCTTATTTCATTATCTTTCACTTTCTGTTCAATGTTTGGGGGTTTATTGATAACTTTTGAGAGGAAATTTTATTCAGTGATGATCACCCCTAAAACTAAAAGTAGTCCTGTAGCCCATCACCATTTTGAAAAAAATGATGCGTTCGCTCCATTGCAGATTGTATGGCCCAATTTCATCAGAATTTCACAGACAAATTTCACAGAGCTCGCAGTCCTGTGCACGGCTTCCACCCTTCTTTTGTTTACAAACCCTCAAGTTTATGGCCCATAAAATGCTCTAATAACAGAAAATGAAGGCATGCACATCGTAATTTGGCCGGCCTGCATGCACTTCTACGTGAAATCAAGAAGACACGATGATGAACTGAACCGTAGGACAAAGCTGCTGGGTTAAGAGAATACTGTTTTTTATTACCCTCAAAATGTTGATTACATAATGTGGCATCCCATCGCGAAAGGAGCTGTAAAGTCGCATGCTGAAGATTCTTTTAAAAGTTGAGCAGCGGGCTAAGACTGTTTCATTCCTCATAAAACACACTTGTTTTCAACCTTCGTTTCAATTAACACTTGTGAGGAAATCGCTATTATATCTTTCAATCGCTTATCAGAGCTTTTTCATGGATTTTTTTTGCAACCTAAAAGTTGTATTTTCCACCGATTAGTGCAGCACATTTTCTAAAGAAGTACATTTTAAATAGACAGTGGAACAGGAATGTTATTCATGTTATTTAAAAAATGTTTTCCAATTAGTCTTTGATCTTGAACATGAATCCAAACAAGAATCCCTTAATTAAAAGTAGCTTGAAAGTTGAGCAAATTGTATGCTGCTCATGAAAATTCAACCATTTTTGAATCTCTCAGCTTCTGACTTTAAAGTCCTTTGCGTTGGATCGACGATCACCCATAACAATTAAGAATACGTAAGCCCTATGTATATTTTTTTATGATGTAATATAAGAAAGAAAGGTATTTTCAACTAAATATCAAACATTGAAAAATGTGCAAAGTATTACATATATTTTTTCCGTATGCCTAGTTTTGAAATGCAGAATATATATTTCAAACTGGAATATTTATTTTCACCATTCGCCAACATTATGGCAAAATATTATTTTACTTTAGAAATTAATATTCACATAATTCAGCTCAAATCAGCTCAGAGCAAAAGATAAAACCTTGCAAACAAAACCATTTGTTGTTACCCTGGCGAAATCCCAATTCAATTTGTATTAAAGAACAAATGACCGAATTCAGTAAAACAATCTTAATTTGAAAAACCACAAATATTGCATAATTATGGCCTATAGTAAAAACAACAAGTTTAATATCGCGAATTGCACTGATATCCCTTATAAATAAAGCCACTTCCCTATACTTTGGAATACGAAATAAAAATGCAAACGTCTTAAGAAATAAAGGAATTTTTATAATGAAGAGTTAAAAGGGAAACCACAAACCAAGATTTTACCAAATGCAAAGCAAATATATAAACAAAATTAAATTGAAATAATGACACGCACGTTCGTCTGTAACTGTCGTTCTTCATAAATCATTTTTCATCATTTATAATTTAGTATGTGTGCCACATAGGGCTCGGTTCAAATTCATTGTGTTTCTGAAAGTATACTAGCCATATTTTCACATGCCACTTGTCATTTATTAATTTGATGAATGTTGAAAAATGCAAATCGACAGTTTTGTAATAAACGTGGTTTTAATATGTAAGACAGGTTTGAACTCAGTCGGGTGTGTATAATGAAACATGCAATCAGAATTGATTTACTGTTTATGAATTTTAGAGTTTGGAAAACAATTCTCAAAATGGAGATCGAATATCCTCCGATTCTGTTTCGAATAAAAATGGTAACATTTCCAGGATCCATGATTTAATACCCCCGCAGACATCAGCGTATAGACCTGATTCACGAGGAAGCCAATTTTGATCGTGTTCCCTGAATCTTTTTTACAAATTGTAAACTGTTGAATGGGATGGTGCCAGACTATTTTATGATTGGAGTGCGTGCCAAGCCTCAATTTTTTGTAATAAAATGTGGCTTTAAACATTAGAGTATGATTAATTACAAAGGTTAAGTTATTCATCAGAGCAGGCTGGCATTTATTTGTAATGAAGTTTCATTTCATTGCTTTCATTTCTACTCGCAAGTTCCAAAAATGAACAGGTTACCTCGCTTTGTATTTAAAATGGCCGACTCGTGAATAAACTCTATAGCTACGTCTTATATGAAAACGAATGGAATGTTAAAAGTACACGATTTACACGAACAATAAACGTCTGTCGAAGTATCGAAACCTTGACGGGTTTGATTACATGTACAGTCGAAAATTGACTTTCACTTGGAGTTTACAGGTTCATTCAAGGCTATTCCTTTTTACACTTGAATTACTATGAAAATGAAGATTTCATCAAGTGTACTAAGACTTATAGTCACGATTATAATTATTACATAAGACCTGATGCCTGAAGTGCGCGCAGCAAGAATCTTTTGGCGCTGTTCTTGTAGAGTCCCAATACCATTTTGTTCTCTATTTCAAGATATTGAAACCAACTCTGTCATCCACACAGATTCTGATCATTGTCATACAATTCAAATATCTGACGTTGGCAAAACACACAAAAGGTTTATGCTGGTTTGATACGAAGATGAAAACATTCTATATAATTGCAAAAGAAGCTAATGAACGATATAAACATGAAAAACCTCTGTGTCCAACGAAATGTATTGCAAGCGCATTAGAAAATATTGATTATTGGTTTCTACTTGCGATTAATAACGAATCATTATCACTGTGCTTTCTAGCTCTCTTGTCATAGAAAATGTCTTGCTCTACACTATTTAGACTATACAATTTCATGTTCAACTGTATCCCTACAAAATGGTTGAAGCCAAACAATTGTTGAAGCTAAAAATGGTTGAATCTATGATACTATTTCGGCTAAGAATATACAGAAGAAAGTTCAGAAAGATCGAAAGAAAAGTTTCCAGAGTTTGACGATGCGACTGGTATTTCCATCAGGATTTGGTTGCCCCGAAGCCCTTTGTAATGTTGATAGGGTTGAGCGCTGTACAAACCAAGGATATAGCATACCTATACATCAAGGAAAAAAAATTCTTTGACCTTCAAAAGCATGATATTTCGCTGTAAACCCTCATGCTACGCATGTATTCTATAACTGTGCACCAGGTGTTTTTTTATTTCAAATTTGAGGGGGGGGGGGGGGCCAAGGGGGGCACTTGCCCCCCCCCCCCCCCCCGGAAAACGAGAAAAAAAAGGAGAAAGAGGTGCGAAGCCATATTGCTGTTAATGCTCCCCTGCTCACGCTCGGAAAAATGATAATTGAGAATGTAATGAAAAGAAAAAGTTAAGGAACTTTGGGGGAAAATTTGCTTTGCCCCCCCCCCTGGAAAAAATCCTGGCGACGCCCATGGTGGTGGCCTAGGGCTCATGCTAACGAAGATCTGTTCCTGAGTGGTGACTATAACAGTGCTTTAAATTCTTACCTTAATCCTTTACTGCGAAAAACCTGCAGGAAAAAAAAAATACCGAATATAATAGGAAGATAATGGTAATTTTGTGGAGGGACAGAGGCACAAATCAAAAACATTCTGGTCAGCGACATAATCAACAAGCGCAAACTTACAATGTATCGGCATACTCTGAGAATGCCTCCTGAAAGATACCCCAACTTGATAATTAGAGGGCAAGTCAAAGGCAAAAGACCAACAGGGGCTCCAAGGAAAAGATGGTTAGACCAAGTAAGTAGAGGAGGTTCTTACAAAGATGGACATCTCTATGGAGAATGCACAAGAACTTGCGCAGGACCGAGAGAAATGGAGAGCAGGCTGCAGCCCTACCCATCATGACTGACGGTGGGAGGATGTAAGCATGTAGGCCTAAGCTTCACAACCTTCTTTTTAAGGACGAGTAGATGTGGGAACTAAAGGGGTCCTACCCTTTAACAAGATGATGGCCGTGCTTTGTACGTGTCCCCACAGAAATGTTAAATTGAAATTAAGTATTGGGAGACCTCCGCGCCATTCGCACACAGGAGCCGTGTCCTTCTCTGGCTCTTGCGATTAGATCAAAACAGCGCCCTCTGTAGTTCCTGCACAGAGTCATATAGCCTGGAGTAAACTAAACAATAAAGTTCGACTTCTACGGGTAACTTACTTTTCCATTTCCTGCCGTTCCAATCTTTTGTCGTCGTTTGAATCTAACATCTTCAGCTAAGAGAAGGAGAAAAAGGGGGGGGGATCCCTTTATTTCTAGATCTGTCTTCAAAAGCACAACACTTCAACATATCTAAAGTAGATGGCAGTCCATGCATAGACTTGCAATATTTTTTTGTGTGTTTTGTTTTGTGAGTCAATTTTAAATTTGTTTTCATATTTACCAGGGCGTCTGCATATTTTTCTAAAGAGGGTTCAGTAACTTTTCCCTCGGGTAGAACATCTCGGAGAAACTTCTGCAGAGCGAGAGAGAGAAAATACAACTCCTATTATTGTCAAGATGAATACGGCCAGCTAAACATGCGCCAGGAGAATTTACAAAACTGATGTCCGCATTATATAGAAAAGCTCCCTGGATGGACCTTTAGTAAGAAGTATGCATCTGCAGGATTAGATTCGTTCATGCGCCGGATTGCGTCTTAAACCTCATTTGATATTCCCAAGTGAACACCATGTGGGCTGCAAGATCACCTTGTAGATTTCAAATGACGCATTTTGAAATTTGATCCTCACATCATTATGGAGCATGTGCGGAGGGTCTGGACCCGTCTGAAGTGTTTATGCAAGGCAGAGGACTAGGATTCCCCAAACTGCTCTGCAGTGTCAAAAACTGGCATCCGTATTTGGCGAATTTAGCCAATTGTTTGTTATATTTTTAGCGATAACACCTACACATTGCCAACGGTGGGATTGCCCCAGCAGATTTGATTCATGAATAATTTGCTACTTTAATATCGAAGAAGCAAGCAGATTATGTCATGAGGATGCGCCGGAGGGATTATTGCTCCACATACAGCCCAGTATCTCGTGTATGACATGCGGTTTTGTTGGTATTTCAGATTTCCCCCCAGAAATCAGGCAAATAAATTTGTACGAAATCCCTCAATTCCGATATTTCCCTTTCCCTAAAACTTGATTGTAAACCCCTTGTTTTAGCTTGACGAAAAGTTTCACAATTTTCTGGGGAAAAAATGGGTTGCATAAAAAAACTTCAAACTGTCTTCTTTTTAAATTTGTTTTTATAGAACCTTGCCCATAAGGGAGAATTCTACTGCAATGCTTTCAACAAAAAGGCGAAACAACGTAACAAAATCAACGAATGATTTAATATTCATAACTTTGTGTGAAACGTTCATTTCAGTAAGTCCACTCTAAACCATACCTTTAGTTCTCCCGAGTCAATGTATCCATTACCATCATTGTCGTACTTCTTCCAGATCTATTCAAAAGGTAAAAACATACTCTTATTACAACCAAATATTCCTTGAGTTTTGTAGGCCGATATTGCGACCTAGTAAAAACCGGATTGCGTGGGTTTACATGACATAATATACTAAATATATATAATTGAGGTACCATTTTACTCTTATCAAAGGTTTTCCCCTCGGTATCAAATGAGCTTACCCATAGGCATACTCAACGACTGTTCCAAATTATGTCAAACCTGCATTGTTGGGTCATTTCATTCAGTAGCATAGCCCGGGGCGAAATTTCTTTTCCCAAACTAGAGCGGACAATATCAAAAGAGGGCGCTCTCTCTGCGTTATGCATATTCATGATGTCCAGGGCTTTTAGAGAATAAGTTATATAACAAGGAATAATAGTGTTTAAATCACCGACGGTTGGCAGCTGATTCGTGGACTGGTTGGAAGAAGTCATGACTTAATTCTAATCAGGTGATCCGAGTTCGAATCTATTTTTACGTTTTGAATAAGTAAAATGATGAAGGAACATTTCTCACAAGACGTAAAGCCTATAATTATTGGGTTTGTGTTGTGGAGAACAAGGCATTAGATATGCATGTAATGGACAATCAGAAGATGGGAAGCGGATGTCGTTTGGGAAAAAAGATTCGCAGCCCGGGGGGGGGGGGGGGTGCAGAGTGGCAGAATGCAACGGGCTAGAAATTTTAAAAGCAACATTTTCAAACCGGGACGCCGATAGAAGCAAACGGATTACATATGCATAATAGGTAACCGGATGAAATTCTGTTTTTGCAACTGGCAAGTAAAACACTGGCTATGTACGCAGCTGACTTCACTCGAGAAAATTGAACAATGTCTAGCCTATGCATAAAGTCAACACCTCAAATTTCTATGCATGGTCATGTTCTCCAGCTCAATCTCTTCAGACCGTAAGACTGTAATCAATCATGAAAACTTCGTGCAGTAACCCCGGATTTTGTCCTTAATTTGGCCAACGCATTTTGAAAAGTTCAATTACGGCTTTGACATCCGCCATCACGCGTGACTGGTCTTTAATCAAGTCGCCCGTACGATGTGCTAACAGTCTGGGACTGTCTCAAACAATATAATTTTACATATGTTTATATGTCTAAATGATGGATATTTCAAAGGGGCTTCCAACCTATTTCGTGAACGAACAGTAATCGAGAGAGATGCTTTTCAAAATACGATGTGAAAGTTTAAAATCATTTGGAGGCATTGGAAGAAAATTCACTTTCGTTGTGATTAGGTTTGATATTACAGAAAGTTCTCTTTATCACATTTTGTTTCAGGATATTGGGATGAACGTCTGTCTGAAATAGTTGGGAAAATTACAAAGTGAATAGACCCTTCCCGCCTGTCAATCAAACAGTACACACTGACCAATTAAATCACGAATTGTGGCCAGGTGACCACGGTATATCAATCAAACTCGGTCACAAGCATGGTGAGAAATGTACACAAACCAAATGTGGGCGGGGCCAAATCTGGAACGGTCCCTTTAGGATGAATGGTCTTTCGTTCTTTTACCTTTTCGAACTCGGCTCTGGTTCGCTTGCAGTCCTGGGTTTTCAGGATCAGTTTGAAGTTCTCCTCTTGGTTCAGGATCTCTGCTAGCTACAAAATGACAAATTCAAAACAAAACAATTTCTATAAATTTTCACTGAAAGCGGTCACGACTTCAACCCATGTCAATAATTCAAATTTTCGATGAAAGTTTTAAACAGCTTTGCAGGTATGACATAAGGAAAAAACATTTCAATAACTACACAGCAGAAAATATTATAAGCATTTTTTGCGCTGATTTTAAGTACAGCTGAAAATTAGCCACAACGCACTTTGTGCATGTTCATAAATTGAACATGAAAAGTGATACAAACTGGAGGTTATAAGCCAAAAGAATATGCCTTACAAAAGATGAGCGTTGTGTGCGATAACATCTTTAACAAGCACACGCATTGACTGAGGCCAACTGCAGGGAAAATAGCGACATGAATTCAGCTGCAAAATCCTAATGAGCAGCTTGCATGACACACGTTCATTAATATCTGTCAAGTTTGGCGTATGCATCCAGTCCGACCACTCTTTAATTTCTTCTGACGTGTTTATTCATGAGAGTGCTGGCATGAACTACAAGGTAGGCCTATATCCCCGACGGGAAAGTTCAGGGGAAAGTTGCGCATAATTGCCTTGCTTTCCCCGGGTTATAACATTTGGTCGTACACGTTTCCTAATTATACAACGGGTCTTAAAATAACATTTCTCGGAAACGCAAAATTCAAAGTCTTTCACGAAGACAAAACAAGCACGAACCAAATTCTTCATCTTTATTCAAGAAATCCATCAATCGCTCATACGATTCCTCTGCTTGATTAAAGTCACTTCAGCACATACTGCTATGAAGTATTCTTATCTTGCATTGGAGTGTAGTAGGTTTACTTCAGAATAAGATGAGAAAATATGATTTGATATCATTTAGTTTCAATAAGTTTGTGAGTTAATTGAGGCCAATATAAGCAACTACTGAGAGGAATCTTGAATATACATCAGAAAAACAAGGTGAAAAGCAGGCCCATTTTGGCAAAATACATCTGAAGACGTGACTGGAGCATTGCGTATGTGCTCCTTGTTTTTGTTTGTTTGTGTTTTTGTTTTGTTTTTACTATGATTTGAATATTCTGATGTCTTGGACTAAACACCCTTAGACTTCATTACCATTACATATCACACCGGGGAAATAGAATACAAATATAATGAGTTGGGTGCATTTTGTATTCGTATACCGAATTTTCAGTGTAAACATTTAAGAAATATTCATCATTATTAACGGCAAAGATGGAAAAGGGAATTTCGAAATCCCATCCATTCATAAATTCTTTATTTTGCAAGGTGATACGCTTGAATAAAACTGTGCTAGGAATATATACTTGTACTATTCTAACACTCGGTTTAGACGCACCGTTCACAAAGCAATACTTGATACAGATCGAGCTATCATCTTAAGGGTAACGTTCTAACGCTTGGTACAAATGCACCATATTTGTTTCACATTCAAACGTTCCGCTATATGCAGAAACGTACTATTCAAAGTCAGTTGCACAGATCAAACGTTTGGTAGAAACGCACCGTTCTAACGCTGGGTAAAAGCATGATATATCATTTTTGCCATAACATTCAAACGCTTGCAACAACGCCCCGTTCTAACTCTCTCTAAATTATGCACCGCGTGTTTAACTGCGCATACTTCTTAAACCAAGCTCATAAATCACACAGCGGGTTGGTTCATTAACGATGCGGTGCCGGAAACTCAATGAATTAACAACAGCCCCCTTGTGGGCCCCGTGGTAAATTACGTATACATTTTAATGACACCGCAAGGCAGCCTGATTTTTAATTAAGACGCTCGAGTGATCTTGCTTGAATTCATAAGACTCGCGCCTTGAATGCTCAAAGAAATAGGCAGGTACCGTCATCTAAAAAAAGTCCGAGGTGACATCGGAATCAAACTCATCTTTCCAGAACATCAACGTCAACATATGGTGCGCATAATTAGAAAGAAGCTAAGCAAATAACGCTCGACTTGTTTCAGACATGTTTTACACCTTTCAAGAATTGTGCCCGAGTCGGAGGAAGTTTCACCGATGTTTTGGTGTGTTATTCAAAGTTTTGGGGTTTTTGTTATCTTAAAATTACTAAGAAGTAAGCCTTTCACTCAAGTTTCACTCGTTATTAATTATGGTATATGTCTGATAGTTTTAGCGAATATTTAACTTACAATTATTATAGTATACTGCCTCTTTTACGTTCTGTTGGAGGGGAGATTACATATATTTCTTTAAAATATAATTCATGAAAGAAAGGGTAGCCCTTCAAATTAGAATTAGTGCCAAAAAAAAGAAGAAACACACCTTTGAAACTTAAGACAATTTGTTTTTACAATAAGAAACATAAAACCGAAATTATTACATCCGCCTAGGAGGTTATGTTTTCATCGGATTTGGTTAGTTTGTTGGTTGGTTGGTTGGTTTGTCTGTTAACAAAATAACTTTAAAAATATATATGGACGGATTTGCATGAATTTTTTTTTAGGGGTGGTCCTTGGTACAAGTACAAATCGATTAGATTTTGGAAGTGCTCTGGATCTGCGCCATTTGTGCGAGTATTTCTTGTGGGTGTACTGACAATATGGCGGCCGGGGAATTGTTTAACCTTGGTGGGAGGCTTGCGCTCTCTGAGTGCTTTCTAGTTTGATTATAGATTCCATTTCCATTTTTTTGTATGAGAAGAGTTCACTACTACTTTATGTATCCCACTGACCAAAGAACCTTGAGGAAAATCAAGAGGAATGGTCGCGTGTCATTTGCAGTTACTAACCCCTCATTACCAACCTCAGTAAAAGAAGACACTAATTTATCTCCAGTATCGCTTCTAAAACAAGAGGCGCTAAATCATGCATTATTAAATGGCCCCATGGTGATCTCATATTCAATATCGCGGTCAGCAGTAATGAGCAAGTCACCCGACGTAATCCCCTCTCGCCAACAATCTGATAATAAGCCTCGGTGTCAGCAGTTTTAAATTTTAAATGACCGGTCCCGTCAAGTCCCTTGTCACTTTATCCAAGTAAACCACCCTGGTGCCATTATTAAAAGATGCCTTACTATCTTCAGTAGATAGCATTATACGATTGTAATTGGTGAGTTATTACCTTCCCTTTTTGTTGCTTGGTTGGTTGGTTGGTTGGTTGGTTGATTTGTCTGTTACCAAAATAAATCAAAAAGGTACGGACGGATTCGCATTAAATTTGTTTAGGGGTGGTCCTTGATACAAGTACAAATCGATAAGATTTTGGAAGTGATCCGGATCTGGGTCTGGATCAAGTTTTTTTTAAAGGATTCTTCACCATTTATGTGAGTATTTCGTTTGGGTGTACTGACAATATGGCGGGGAAATTGTTTAGCCTTGGTGGAGGTTTGCGCCCCCTGAGTGCTTTTTAGTTATCTATTAAAAGTCTCCATCATTAAATACTTTGGCAAAGAGCCTTTGAACCAACGTGCCAATAATTGTATTGAAGGGGGAAAAATCACTAAAATCAATACTCGGATCTGTCATTCTGACCCGGCGAGTGTTTTCCACTTTCATCCAAAGTCAGTCTTATTTTTTTTTGCTCTGGTCTGGTAACCCGCCTACTCAACCTCTTGTTCTAATTATGGCCGTAGGCTAACATTGAGAAAAACTGTCAAGTGCAGCTGCTGCCCTATCGTGCCCAGGGCTGAAACCCGATCCTTCGTCCTGTCGTCACTTCTTCGCTGCCTCGTCCCGGCTGTCGCACCGGTTTTATGTGACGAAACTGCTCATAGCCGAAAAAACCCAAATTTTTGTGCAATTCGCTGAATCTCTCTCCGCCCCTACATTGATAATTTGATTCAGACAACTTTACGATGTCGCAACATGATGATGTTCATGAAATATTTTAAATTTGGCCATCTTTTTTTATTGTACGTTTTGGGGACGTAGGCCTATCTTCAGTCCGACGACTCATAGGTCCGACGCCTCATAAGTCCGAAATTTCGGACTTATGAGGCGTCGGACTTATGAGGCACAAATTCCGCCTCATAGGTCCGACGCCTCATAAGTCCGACGCCTCATAAGTCCGACAATGGACAAATGTTGTTTCGGACTTATGAGGCGTCGGATATGTGAGGCGTCGGACTTATGAGCGGACCCCTGTGTTTTGATAGAACATTGATTTAATACATGTATTAAAGGTAAACAAAAAAATACAAACAATTAAGGCCATTAACAAAGTTATGGCAACAGCAGCTACGCTTCAGAAACGGTGGGTGTCATTACAGCTATAACAGTAATGCATTGTGCATCGAGTTCAAAATAATGTTGGCCTATACCTTGAATTTTCTTAAAGTGGAGACCATATAGGCTTCGATTTGACAACATCTCTTTTATCTCTCCGAGTTTAAAATCAATGAAAGAGGATTCCTGGCCTTGAAACTTGTAACAAAATAGAACTGAAAATAATTTATATCCAGTGTACCTTTAACCCAGCTAGAACCGACCCAAGGAACGCAGTAAGTAAAATCATTAACCGGCTTGCGAGTCACGCCCATCTGCTCTATGGAAGTCATATTAATTGTATTATTAGCTCAGACACGATGCTCATATTGTAACGGATACCGAAGACAGGTGTTCATAGTAGTTTATAATGGGTTATCGATCCAAGAGGCGGATGGCGCATCTTGAAATCTTCTCCGGCAGCTCAATTAATTCTAGTCCGTTATGACATTTTGTCGGCGGAAAATTAGGCGTCGCGTTCCACCTCGAATCGAACAGCGTTGAAAGCTGTTTCTTGTTCACGTTGCGGCTCATAATTTACTTGATTCGTTAAAAAGTCTATAACTAAACAATCGTGTCGATGTCGTCAATTCATATGATTTGTTGACGGAATATTGAACTCGAGATTAAACTTGTCCTCAACGAAAACATTTCAGATTGCTATGAGGACAAAGGATATTTCATGGCGTCTTTGGGTTATATTTATTCGAGTTTTCTTTCAGCTCTTCTCGTTTTATTGATACAGTTTTCAACTGAGAACTCTTAAA